GCATGACACTCTCGCCTACGCCTTTTACAGCGTGCCGGATCAGTACAGGAATGTCCCAGCAGTGAAGTCCGCCTCGCGCATTTTCGACCAGATTCCTGACGGCCAGCTCGTGCGACCGGACAAACCGGAGCCTGCGGTTCTCCGCCTCAGCGCGGTGAAAGGCACTGATGGCACCCGGAGGAACCTCGAGAGGCTGAAGGAGGAGTCCATCAAGAAAAACGTGGTCATCCTCGGCGCCAGGAGAGGCGAAGATATCGCCCCCAGGATCGGAAACACGATCGCTACTCTGTGCGCCAAAATCGGGGACATTGCCCGATTCCTGGAGATGGGAGTGAGATCCAGGGCAGGGCCTATCCTCCCGACCAAGAGTGATCCTGACCTGATGATCCAGGCCATTGTTCCCGCACCCGAGGAGCTTCTGGACTACTTCGCCGACGAGATCCGTCAGAAGGTGAAGGGTAGAACGGGCGCCTCTTCGCACTACTACAGGAGAGCATGCGCGGAAATACGCGACGCGCTCCGTGGAACAGCTGTGCAGCCTGGAAATGCAGGTGCAGTCAAGGACCCAGAGTTGGAGGCCTCGTCTGCCAGCGGGCAAGGGAACGTTACTTCGGTGATACAACTGAAGAGGTTCCTGAGCCACTACTTCGGGACCAGCGTCGAGTCCGAGGATGCCTTTTCTTCATACCTCCTGTCTTCCTTTCTCGAGGATGGGGTGGGAATGTTCGAGATCATCATCACCGTCATTCGTGACAAGGAGCGTCGGTTGCTGCCTGGTTCCGCCCGCATAGCGGCGGTAAGGTCGCTTGAGATCGGATCCGACACTGATTACCGGGCATTTCGTGAACGATACCAATACATGCTCTACGAGAGCCCTGTTTGTCTTCCTATCACCTCCAAGGTGGTTCCTAAGACGCTCTACAAGGTGGTGCCTCTCCGAATGTATCGGCTCTACGTAGAACGTGGGGCGATCATTCGGGGTGGGCGAGCTCTGATCGAGCTCCTTCCCTCTCGGCCGGATGAGTATCAATCCCTCCGCGATCACGGAGAGTGCCCCAACGACACTGTCGACCGCATCACCGACAGCAACGTGACGGAGCTGCACACCTCGGGTCGACGCCAAAGGAGCGATCCCCGATATGTGGTCATGGCTATCGATGCACGTTTCTTCTCCATGGAAAATGGGGGCATGCATATTACTCGTCAGGGTACCTTTGCGTCGCGCGAGAACATCGCGATCGGGTACTGGAGATGCGTCTACTTCAAGGAGGACTGCTCCATCATTTACCTGAGGCCTTGGTGCTATCCGCCCAACTTCCTCAACTCCTTGAGTGATAACCCGAGGAAGTGTCGGGACGAGATGGAGAAGTACCATCAGATCACCAAGACGGAACATGTCCGCGAGGTGGTGTCCGTTCCATGCCATAGGTGCATGACGGCCCATCCGGTCGGCGCTCACCTGTGCACCGCCTGCTACCTTCCCATCTTCTACGATGGCGTCCTGCCCACCGGAGACACGAACGGCGGCCCTCGCACGATAGCGAGCACTGACGGGTTGGTTCCTCCCTGGCTGGCAAAATACGAGGGCTTCGTCCCCGCTCTGTGGAACAACTCAGACGCCAACGCCATCGGAATGGCCCTCTACTCGCAGAGTCCCGCCGTCGATGCCCGGTCCTTGTTGATGTCTGGGATGCGGCCTCCTAAGTACCTTGACAAAGAGGACGTGGATGGCATTTTCCGGAAACTTCACGACTCGCTCCGAGACGAAGTCCTTGACGGCAAATACCGTGACACGGTCGACACAACGTGGAAGAGTGGGTAGCAAAGGCGATCCTGGTAAGGGGTCTGGCCTTCAACGGGAGCTCCGTCCCCGAATTCTTCGAAGAATATGAGGGATATGCGGCTGAGTGGGGCAGACGCCTAACCACCGCAAACTTCAATGCCAACCGGTGCGGTTTCTACACGTCCTACTACATTCTTGAGGCCCATATCATTGGGCTGAGAACAGGACACCTTTCTCCGATACTCCCCAACGATGTGTCCGGGGAGGGATTCAAGTTCCAGGTGAAGCTGCTCGCACAGCACTGCGGGATATTGCAGGCCATGCGGAGAAGGGCCGGTTTCGATCCTGCCGCGCGCCTCAAACGGGCTATGGACACGATACGGGAAGGCATTAAGAAGGGGTATGTCTACACCCTCAACGACCTCAGCAGTATGGACGATCTGATCTACCGGACGTCCACCGTTGCCTACGACACCTGCTTGGCCGACCGTCCTCAAACCCAGGATGACATCAAACAGGAGCTATCCGACCCTGTACCAAGGAAATACCGCTTCCGACCCCGCGATCGCCATCGACCCGGAATTCGCCTTACACCAGGCCCCGGCGTGAAGGACGAAGACGAGCCCGACTTTGCTGGATCAGCGGAGGATGAGCTGGGATCGGATGGTTCTTCGCACGAAGATGACGAGAAGCCTGACGACCTTGACGAGCCCATGGGCGACGACGAGGAGGAGATCCCTCCCCCTCCGCCACCGCCCCCGGCTCCTCCTGCGCCGCCTGTCCCGGTAGAACCGGAGACTCCCGTGGTGCCGCATGCAGGCGTCATTTCTGGCGATGCTGTGCCAACTCCTCCTCCTCCTCCTCCCGCTCCCATTGCGGCAGGCGTTACTACGACTGGGGATCCGTTTGAGGAAGAGGACATGGCCATCAATACTCGTGTCCCTGACACCGAGTCCGAGCTGGAGGGTGAGTCCGACCAACCCAAGGCCAGAAGGACATCTCGCGGTCGGGTCCCCGCGCCCGAAAAAGGGCAGGGGGGCGTTCAGGTCCCGCCTAGCGGGCAACCCAGCTCTAAGAGCATGGCCCAGCCTGCCCGCCCATCCCCGGTCCCCGCGAGAAGCGGTGTGGAAGGTGGGGAGAGAAGGGGCAGGACTAAGGGTTTCTACACCCAGAAGGATCCTTTTACCGGCGAGGACGCGACTCCCCGAGTTCGTCTTCGATCGGGCGGTCCCGGAACTCCTGCGTCCCCACCACGGGATGCCACCGGTTCCTTGGGCGGCCATCGCGGCTATGACCCGCGTGATGACGACAACGACGAGTGGGAGCTTCCCCCGGGTGTGCCTCGGACCACTCGTGCGGCAGATGAGTCGCGGCCCCGACGAGATGACGATCGGTCAAGGACCGCGCTTGGGGCCCGCGAGGATCGTCGTGGTCCTAAGGGTGAGGGGAAGGGTCGAGGAAAACATCGACCTGGCAAAGGAGGACGTGAGGATCCCGGCCCGCCCCGACAAAGGGATGATCGTGGCAGGGACACCCGCGGAGGCCGACGCGATGATCGCCGACCTCCTCCACGTCATGAGGAGACCTCCGAGAGGCGCGGCCCGGGGCGAGATGAGCGCCGCGGACGTGATGACCCGGGCGATGACCGTCGCGATCGCCACCGGGACCGGCGCAGGGATGACCGACGTCACCAATCAGATCCCCCTCCGCCTCGCCGACCTCCGGCTGGCGACCACAATAGGGGTGGTGGTGAGGATCGCCGTCGGGATGGAGGAGGTGATCGAGGTGACCGTGGTGGACGCCGAAGAGACGACGCGCCCAGGGACCGGGAAGAGCCTGGTTCACGGGTGGTAGCACGCCGGTAGACGGGTGCCGCAATCAGCATCCGCCTTAGAAGGGCGAGGATAGTACGTGTGTCGCCGACAAACGCGACCGCGCCGGTCCTCCTCTCGCCCGTGCAGCGCTGCTGGGGGTGATGATCTCCATTGCCCTGTACCGCTGATCCGGCGTTGCTCGTGTCCCTCCCGCACCGCTGCCGTGCGCGCCGGAGATGGTTCCCCTGGCGATCCTGTGTGAGGCTGTGACCGCACTAGAAGTGCCGGACCGGCCATAGCCGGATATTTTCACACCAATTTCGGAGCTTCCGTTTCTACTTTCCTCCCAACTCGACTCCTCTTCCAACCGTTCCACGGCGTGCAGTGAGGCGCGGTGATCCAGATAGGATCCCCCTCCGCATGGCATCGTCCCATGACAACTCATGAACGGCACGAGAGGAATCTTCGTCTGGTTCCTCCAATATGTCTTTGTTCACTCATGTGGTCCACTCGTCAAATAATCCTGTCGCCCCGATAATTCGGGGTGGTGGCGGGATTTTAACTGGGGCCCAGGTGATGCCGTTTGGCTCACCTCTGAGTTGACACCGGCATTTTTGGTTGGTCCCTTTCGTCGTGAACTCAACTGTCTCGCATCCTTTCTCTCGTCCAGATATCGGATGAGGGGGGTGTGTTTTGTTCACGTGTTGTTTCATCATGTGGCAAAACGGCCGAATGGCCGTTTGGCTCAAGATTTGGATCCCCCGTCGGGACTTCCTTGGATTTGCGTGCGTTCGCCATAGTGCGGCGATTGGCTGCGCCATCGCGGAAAAGGTCCGTGGTGTTCCAGCTGTTCGGCACTAGGAGGTGGGCGGCAGGTCGCCGAGGTGCTCCCGGGCCCGACCCTTGTCTTTACCTTCTTCTACCAGTTTCCTAACCTCCCCAAACTTGATCTTCATTAACTGTCACTCCCACAATCTGGTCACCGGCACCCTCTACATTGTGCTTTGGGACTGGGTTCTTTTGGTACTTCGTGAACCACGTGTACCTCTTTGATTCCCTGGGCTACTTCGTGTTCGCCCAAAACCGCACAAGGAAACCGGGGGAAAGCAAGCATTTGGGGGGGTTCCCCAAATCTTGAGACTGTCTCCAATTGGGGGAGCCTTCAGTTGAAGCATTTTCCTACCATGCGTTTCCTTTCAAAGCAACCCAAAAACAGGATTTTCTCAAAACACAACTTTCAGTATGCGTTAACCCTCCCTTAAGTGGTAGTACCCCCCCTGCTTCGGTTGCCCGAACAAAACTCCCACGAGGAATCTCCGCACCTTCGGCCCTTGTGTTTTTGTTCACAAAGATCCTTGAGACACTCTGTGGTTTACTCAGCGATCAGCATGTTTGGTTGAGGCATGTGCTCCGTGTTTTCCCGCCTCAGTCATTCGCTGAGCAAGTGGGCTCCCAAAAACTTGTTTGGCGGTTGGCAGCTGTCAGCCCCTAGTGAACCCCATTCAAACCCTACTTTCTGCTCTGCTTGTCCCCTAGCTGTGTGTTGAAAGCGAAGACCTGCTCAGAAAGGCTTGAAACTACGTATGAAGTCAGCCATGTAGAGGGAGCCCAAGCTCCTTTTTCGTGCATTTTCTCATGACCCCGAGACAAACAACCTAGGGTTGGCAAAATGTCGATCCTTCTGGGACCCCCTTTGAACACAGCATGGTCCCAGGTACGGGCTCGTTTTTTGCATTCACCTCCCGTCAAATCCCGGCCTGTGCTCTTCGGAATTCGAGGTGGGGATCAGCTGCGAGTGACGTGGAAAGCCAATGACTTGCACCAGTGCGTCTTCCGCGATTGGCTCCTCCAGTGGAGGCCGGACATTCGGGGCGATCCCAGCGCCGGCCAATTTAGTTGTGCATGTACAGGGGTGCACGTGTGAGTATACGCGAATATATACACGTAAGTATATATTTAAGTATATAAACATATACATTGGTATTTTTTGTACATATATATATATATATATACACATACACCATGTTTACTCTACAGGAATTCGTCCCACCGAAACACAGCAGCTGCCCGCCCAGCTCATGATTAGTGACCTTGGTCCAGATCCAGATTGCACTCGCCTATGCCAGTTTCACCACACTTGGTTGCCTGGCTAGATTTTCGGACTGCAACTGGCAAAAGCTTTGTACTTGAGCATGAGCTTGCTTGCAACGTGCCCGGGATGCTGTAAGACCGTCTGAAAATGGCAGGACGTTTGGACCGTCCCAACAAACGGCTTCCAGGTTTGACTCAGTCGTTCCCGTCGGCCCAGGGAATGGAGCGCTGGGGAGTGGATGAATGCCTCCAACTGCAGCGCCGGCCTAGGCTTGCGAGTTGAACCTCGGAATCCGGGGCCTTCCTTTTTGCCTAGCGGTGAAAGGGAGACTTACAGGAAACCGCTGTCATTTTTGGGCACCCCGATTTTGAGAAACACATCTGAAGGAAATCAATGTTCAGACGTTTTGTTGGGTTTTGACACTGCGTGGAGTGTGAGTGGATGGGAGAGTGATATGAGACAGTGTTGCTGCCGATGTTTGTTGAAGACGTGTGCGATCTTCATTTGACATAGAAGAGCGCACACCGGTGGGTGCTCAGCAAGCTTCTATTTGCTTATTGCCGTTGGCCAGTTGTTTTGCTTTTGTCTCATGATCTGCAATGGACGCAGCGCTAAATTCCCCGTGTTTCTTGCTTGCCCACCCATGTCGTGGATTTCGTCAACGGTTTGTGCTGTAGGAGTTCAATCCAATCATGTCTTTTCAGGAAAATAAACCACTCCTACGTTCAAAGTCTACAGTCAGGTAGCCAACAAATGCAAAGGCATGATATCTGTATATATCCTCGCAGCGCGAGCCCTCTTCGGCCAACAAAGCCGAGGCGAGGCAGACACGACCACCGACCCCGAGTGCTTTCTGGATGCGGACTTTGGCGCGACAAATGCACGAGAGCTGCGGGTGAAGAGGCTTTGTGAGGTGCGCAAAGGGGACGGGCAGGTTGGCCTTTGGCGTCGTTGAGCAAAAAAGCAAGCGTCCAATCAAAAATCGGAGGTTAGTCAGATCACGTGCTCTACTCAGAGCAACGTGTTCTAAGTCCTGAAAGTCAGATTGACACCTTGCTTTGGTCATAAATTAACTTGCTCTTCATACAAGTGCATAGTCGAGACCCTCTTCGATGGATTCCTCTTATTATTCCCAACTCAAAGTGGGGAAGTGGAAGCTGAACGTGTCTGATCTCAAATTCCGCCTCAGATTGATGCACAATGGATCCCCTCGTCTGGCCAAATTAATCGCGACGAGCCCCCATTTCGGGTGGAGGGATCCTTTTTGGAGCCCTTGAGCATCATGTCTCATGCCATGTGTTTGTTGCCTTGTTGCTCGAGAATTTCATCGGATGACGGACCGCAATATGTTGGCAACCACTAGGACACCCTACATTTGTTCTTGTACGGGATGAGAATGTACAACTGTTTTGCTTGCAGTGCCAGGTAGGATAATTGCATCGTGGATTTTCTAAGCTCGGGACACCCATCAATTTAGCCTGGCATCAGTTGGTTGATGTCAAGCTACGGGAGGTTTGCTGGATCAGATGATGCTACTTGCTCTCTTGGCATTTATACTTTCAGGTTGGATTGATGCTGCGGAAAGACAACTGGTTTGGCCTGTGACTGTGGAAAATGTTTGCTGCGAATGTCCACGACTCTCTTGAAAACTGTCATGGATCCTACCAACCCTGATGTTTAGAGGAACATCGTTTTGGGAGGCGCCTTTGTGATTACATGTCAATTTCATTTGTTAGAGAGGCTTGGCAGATAGATCTTAAATTTGACTTGGCCCCCCGGGAAACCGCTGTAAGGGTGTGGTGGTCTCTTTCCGGAATTGGACTCCAGTATTGGCAACCCCCCCGTTCTTTTCATACTGCCAACAGATTGACAGCCAGCACACGCAATGCGGGTTGAATCCTTTCTTTCAGAACCTGGCGTGAGTTTGTAGCATGCGGAACTTCAGTGCAACCAGACATTTGTCATGCATACTCCACCAGGCTTGCCGCTTTCTTTTCCCGCCAAAGTACAGTAACTCAGTTCGGGCTTACTTTGCGCGAGTGGTCCGTGAGCATTGGAGCGGGGCAATGCATTCTGTGAAAACATGCTGCTCTCTTCTCTGCCTAAAATTAATGAGTGTAAAGTTTTATCCCTCCGTGTTGGTCCCCTGGCAGAACCTGTCATTCAAAGTCTAAAAACTCAGGCGGAAACAACGAGCAAAGGTCAAAGAACTACAACGCAACAACGCAAACAAATCATCAGGTAGCCCGCAGTCGGTGGTTTGGGGATGTGAAGCTTGGTTCTTGTAAAGGGTGAATGGCAAAACACCCCGGAACACCTAAACCAACAGTCCAAAAGACCAGTCAAGTGGGTCCGATGTGGTCATTGGTCAGGAGAACAGCAAGTTAGCTTTAAGTTGCAGTGGACACAGCTCAAACTGATGTCGGATTTACCCAAGGCGAAACCAAAACCGGAAGGGGCAAAGACCATATGCTTAAGAATATGTTTTTTCCCCTTTTTGGTTTTAAAGGGAATCTATCACTACGGTTTTCTTTTTTCTCCAGGGGTCTGGAAGGAAACTGCTTGAGGCCACAGAGGCCGACAGCGAGTTCCTCTACGGCGCTCCAATTCGCTGGATCTCCCCGAGCCTTTGGGAGGCGAACCGGTTTCTTGCCGCGCGTGGTTTATCTCAAATGCTGTGGTTGCACCAGGTTTATACCTCCATGATAGGAAACCAGAAATAGGGGGGCCGGGGGGGTGAATCTATGGTTGATCCTGTGGATGCTTGCGAAATCCTCTTAGGCACCGTTCAGAAACCCTGGCTTCTGATTAGATTCCCCTTGTAAAAGCCAACAAACCTTATGGCCTTATAGTTGCCACCATGGTTTCCAAGTTGTGCGAACGGATTTCGTCCATCCATAGTATCTCGGTAATTCATGGCTTTCATTCATCCTAATTGTCCATCCGCAGAAAGACGCGGTCGTGTAAGTGGGTTCAAGAGGGCTCCTCTGAAATTGGGCATCGCTTGGTTGGTATGTTTCGCCTTGTTTTGATAGGGAAGCAAGACAATGCCAATCATATTCAGGGTTCCTATGTTGACACACATACCTATACCAACAGCAAGCTGATTTTCATTTTGCAACAAGGAAACACAAGAGCCTTGTTTAGGCAAATGACCGCTGCAGTAGAAACAGATCAGCAGTGGGATTCTCCTTAGGGATAATCTTCCCTTGATATTTATCAACTGCGCCAATGATATGGTGATCAGTCTCAAGCTATTGGCTAGTAAGGTACATCAATGTTTATTTTGTTGGACTTAGGCTGTTGGTGTGTTGTTTTAGCCGAGCCCAATGGCATCGTCCTGCAATTAATTCGCTTGATTTGTTCCATACAATGAACAAGGGCACTGGTTGCACGCTCTACACTTGTTCAATTGACCCCGCAACCCACAGGCAGCAGATATGTACTGCTAATCTTTGAGGCCCATGGCACCGATCCGAATGGGCCAGGTCTGGGCTGGTCCATCGGCCAGCAGCGTCGCCCACGTGGACGTCGTCCTGGTGCCACAGGCTGTGGAGGTGGCCCTGAACTCCGGCGAGGAGCCCCAGTTACCAACCCACTGCGTGCTGGGCACAGGAATTCCCTTTGTGGGGAGTGGGAATTCTCTTTGAGGTTTCGTTTATTGTTGTGTCTAAGTGTTCCTACAAACAGATTTCCCACACCCCAATATCAAGAACTTGCTCACCAACATTCTGCATGCTGGGCACAGGCCCCTTGTGGGGAGTGGGATATAAATAAACCACAGCATGGCTTAGCCACTTTCAGAGTCATTTACTCAACAAGTGAAGATTACATATGCACAAACACCCCGCGTTCATCTGAGTTGGTAGCTCGGAAGTTTGACCCCCGGTTGCCTCTTGGAGCTCACAGCTTCAAGCCGTGCCCAGTAGCTGACAAGGCATGGAGTCTCAGATCCACTTGCATCTTTGAATCGAGCCCACAACTCAAGTTTTTTGTTCCCGAAACAGTTTGACTATTTTCAACTCACAAATCAAGGGATTTGAACCTTTTGGGACTTCACAGTATGGACCTGCAACATGAATCGCTACGATTTGTTTGGCCCAAACAGACATGCTTAGATTAGTAGGCGTTCTCCAGAAGAACGTGTCAGCATCCGATAGGGCCATGGTCACCCATATCCATTCGCGGTCTGGAACATTCACTCAATCCATTTCCTCAATCCATTTCCTTAGACACAACCAACCAAGATAGATGATAATGCTGGTCTGGATTGGTGGTTCGGTGATCAAGGAGGGGGTTCTCATTCACCTTCTACAAGATCCAGGCGTTCAAATTTCACCGCCAATGCAAACCACCAAGTAAAGGTTACCAGATTGATATTGTGGTGGGACATCCATTCCCTTATCTTTTGTGGAAGAACAATTATTCTAAACACAACAAATATAAAGCGAGTTCTTGATATTCGGAGTGGGAAATCTGTTTGTAGGAACACTTCGACACAACAAACACAACCACATGTCGGGACCTCCGACAAGAAAAAACAAACTACAGCGGTGAGCCAAGATCCCACAGAAGCAAGGGCGCTTCACTCTGATATTCCAAGATCCTTGTGTTGAGAAAAACCTTCCCGTGCGGCCGGCGGGCTAAGGCACGCCTACAGGCCAGTTTTCACTGTGTTTGAACGGTCACAACGTGACGATCACCCGCGCAGATGCTTTGGCCTGAGTGCAGGAGAGCCGGACAGAGTGCCCCGAGTGCCCAGAAATTGCATCGGTTCTTTGCCCGGAGCTACTCCTTTCTCAACGAACCTTTGCTGTGTACCGCGTGGCGTGTGTGTGTGTGTGCGTGTATGTGTGTGTGTGTGTGTGTCAATTCGAGGAACCAGACGGACTGTAGAAGGAAGACAACACCAACCATCCAGGGTCCCCAATGTGCCTGCGAGAGTCTGAGTCTGTGGCACGGGTTTGCGTTGCACCTATTTCCCTGGAGAATGGATTGGGAAAGCAACTTGATAAACGATGCAACCAGATTTATGTGGCATGGTTTCAATAGACATCCTTCATTTCAGGCTTTCAGTATAGTTCACTTGGAAGAGCTTTAGTGGCCGAGACTTGCCAACACTAACCACGGCAACCGCAAACCCGGGTCTCTTTTGAAATTAGCTCACATTTTAATGTTTGCTACACACGGCCAGTATCAAACGTATCGTTCTGGTTGAGGAGCAATAGCTGAGGAAGCAACCCAGGGCTGATGCATCAAACTAAGAGACCAGACGCAGGAAGTTCTAGAGCAAGTCAGCCAAGGCACCTTGACATGACTTTGGTGGGTATTTGGCTAGGTGTAGAACTTCCAGTGGTTAGCCAAATACCCCCGACAGGTGAGAATTTGGCTAACTTCCTGTAGTAGATCCAGTGACCCTCCCACCAAGCAACATGGAACCTGCCAGGGACTCGGTCCCTTTAACAGGAAAATGGTCCAAACCAGGACCCCCCCGAAGGTCGAACGTATGGGAGGGAGGGTATTTTTCATGAATTCGGCGCTGAGGCGACTGACGGCTGGTCGGAGGATCTTTGGATCCGCTGCGACTTGCAGCCCTTCGCCGACTCTGCGACGCCGCCCGCAGCGCCGCTGGAACTCACGCTGGCGCGGGACCCGAAAGCCCAAAACCCCATCGGCTGTGGCCGGTGGTCTCTGCCTGGCAAAATGGGAAACTATGGGCCCAGAGGAGACCAGCCCAGTTTGTAGGTGGTTCACTTTCCTACTTAGTCCACGAAGTAGGACCTGCTGAGGGATGTTACTGACTGGGTTACTACCCACTTTCTTTTTGGTGGGTTGGCATCCAAGCAGTTGACCCAGGTGAAGGCCGTGTTTGGGGGGTCGACTTCTTGGTTTGGGAGGACAATAATCCACGGCCTTGTAAACATCTTGATGCAACCACAGTTCAGCTGTTTATTGTATGTTCAGCTTTTCCGTGGTACTCCAAATCGATGCTGATCACCCTCAGCCAATTTGAGGAACTCCTGGCTCGGACCAGACAAACCGGCGCACGAAAAGATGCTACAGTGAACCTATGTATAATTGCTCTTCCTATGCCGGGGGTAGCCTCGGAACCCCAAAGCCTGGTTGGCTCGAAGATTGGTAGCTGCTTTGTTGCTTTCAGTTGCCAGAGGTGGGCACCCTTGATTCCTTGACACATCTTGACACGCAGAATGTACGTAGAAATGCACTGTTTTCGTCATGGTGCTGGACAAACAACGCAGATTTAGACGCGGTTTTAGGACGTAGTGCATATCAAATGGGTACGCATGAAATCTCAGATGTTGCAAGTGGAGAACAAGGTTGCCTGGACATGTGCCAGATATTACTGATATCATTACGTGATCGGCTTGCTTTGGTCAATACATCAACCGCACCCTCCCAACTGGAAGTTGGACAGGAGAGCAGTTTGGGGTTTGATTTAAGTTTACGTATATCTGTAGGAGGGAAGTCAATGTCATTCTTTGCTACTTGTTTCTTCTGATGCTTTCCATCCTGGTTCTCCTCCTGCAAAGTTTTAAAGGAATTCTGAAAGCATACAAGCTCCCTGCAATGCAATGATGGGACACAGTAGTCTTCCAACAAGGGATTTGTGCACCAAACTATTTTAGGTGGTGGGAATGCACGTGTAAAGTGGAAGTACTGGGACTCACTAACACGTACCATTACGATGACTCAGTTTGCGAAACCCGACCTTTGCTACGTTCAAGGTTTGCTCCATGTTAAGTGCTGCCAAAAAAATCGGTGGTTGGGCAGTTGGGCTAAATGGGAATGATTTAGTTTGGGAAAGTCTTGGTTGGCTTTAACACCACACCAAGATGGAGCCCACAAATTTTGAGGTCCCCTAATTTGCCACTAGCGCAAGTGCCTTTCCTTTCCCGGCACCGCGATGTTCGATTTCCGGAGGCCCCGAGCATGGAGCACACGGGTGCCCAGATTGAAGCTTTCTTTCAGGCCGAGGGAGTGCCGTCTTGAGACGACCCCCCTCCTCCGTTGAGTCTCTCAAACCTGATTTGGCATGATGAGGCTTATTAGTCTTATTGACCCCCATGTCGCTCGGACCCGAATGTTCCCTTTTGGATCCACCAAGCCAGCTTGTTCCTGTTCTCCTAGAAGCATCTTGGTTCACGCCCCAGTTGTGCCGTGTTGTGCAGCCTTGTAAAACAAGTTTCAACCGTCGACTAGACCATAGGCGACCACTCATGAGAATCCGATGTGAATCATAGGGGGGGGGGGCAACATGCGCAACATGCATATTATATTGACCATGGCTCATATACTGACTTAGAGCTGCGACCCCCAACAAAACCTCACCTACTCGACGCGCCTCCTCAAGTTGGAACGGGTTGAAATCTGGGCTCTCAACTTTGGGAGATTTCCCTAGTGGTGACACTTTTTGGGGACCCTCTTCCAAGGTGGTTAAACAGCGTCACCGAAACGGATTCCAAACAGGGCTCGCAGTCTTGTCCATGCCCACTTGGGTTTTGTCTAGCCTTTTTTTGGTCACGGTGTGAAGTTGGCCATTTGAGGTGTTTCAATGTAGTTGCTGCCGCCTAAGAATTCCTTTTACCAGCTGAATGCTTGTGTTCGTTGGTGTCATCTTGGCCAGGATCAATAGTTATCATGTTATGCAGGGGTGACATAGAACACTTACAATCTCCACTTAAGCTGGGGCATGATGAACATCTTTAGCTAATATGTGGTTCATTCTGGGGGCACTGGGGACAGTTCCTTGAAAGAGGAACTCAATGAGAGCCCGTTCTTCCTTGGTGGCCACTTGGAATCTAAACTGGAACGCTTTCTTTGGCGCTTACCTCCACCCCCCACCAACAAATATGCCTCGCAGACTTGAGTGAAGCTACCACACCCTGCCTGAGCAACAGTCTGCAGATCAACCTGGGTTTCATTTTGGATTCCAACAATTGGAAGCCTCCCCCTCAAACTATTTCTTTGTGTTTGTTTGTTCGTTCGGTTGTTTGTTTGTTTGTTGAAATGAAGCAGGCGGAATACCGGCATGGAGTATCATGGCGATCCACAAAGGGGGTTTGTCACCACACCTCCCATGACAAATGTGTCTTTTCTTGGGCAGTCTGGCTCTCGGTTTTTGGAAAAAAATACAGCATGAGGCTTCCCCCTTTGTCAATTTCAATTACAAGCTTTACTGAAAGGAACAAATATAAGGGTCAGAGCAACAGCAACTAGTCTTCTGCAATCCTAACTAAAATTTGGCTTTATCCCTCCCCAATTTGACTTGTTTGGGGCCTCGTACTTTGACTCGTTGGGATCTGTCGACATCTCGCCAGGCCTCCGACCTGGGTGGGCGCGCGGGCCACAAGTTGATTTTGCGTGCGGCAACCGTGGGGTGAAAGTACTACTATCCTCCGAGCCACATGGCCGTGGGTCAAAACCAATGGTACCATTTTGGGGTGGGTGCACCACCCATTTTAGAACCTATTTTGAGTGGGGATTGGGATGTTCACTGGGGGTACAGCCTTTTGACCCATGGCCACATGGCACCTGAGGCTGAACGACCATTTTCCCCGCACGAAAGGGACTGGTGGGGTTCCAGGGAGCAAAGCGTTTAAAGCCCTTGAAGGGGCAACCTAAAGCGAACCTCATTTGTTTTATCAGGCAGATTCGTCACCCCTTTTCAAAGGGAAATCTAAGTGCGGATGTTTGAACAACCATGCTTTTTGTTTACAGGCAACCCACCAGGGAATAGCTACTGGTATGTCTTGATTTCCAGGAGGGTGCCGCACAACCTCTATGTGTTGTATTTCCTGACGTATGTTGAGTTGCTTATAGAATTATTTCCAAGCATATTGCGATGTTTTTTGTGTTCATTAAATTCAGCCATCGAAGTTTGTATTTGACATGCTCGCATATGCCATGCCCATTTGATGGCCGCAACCAGTCCGCAATTTGATGTGCCACCCTGACTCCATCTTCAGGTGACCAGGTAGTACAAAAGACAATTCTGATTAACGTGGCATAGACAATTCCCGAGGCGTTTTGCCTTCTTGCCAGTGTTGACCACTTGAGGCCATCAAGGAACTATTTTGGGGTTGTAGTGTTCTTTCTAAATGCCAAGTTTTGTAAGTTGACATGAATCCCACTGAGGACCGCCAGTGGTTTATTTATACATTATCAGGCAGCGTTTTGCACAGCGACATACACTGAAACGCACTGAAAACGGCACTTTGCATGCTATGTTGCCTGAATCCTAGCATTGATGCTTTCGTGACCAGAGAACCGTTTCCTGAAGGTGCGTTCATTGTGCGAACATCGCCCGTTGCATCGCCCGCAGCAGGAGATTCAAAGTTTGATTGGATTGGGTGACTTTCCTGCCACAAACCATGCAGGTCTGAGGACCTGGTTCAATATCAAACTGTACAAAAGGGTTCTCCTGCCAGTCAAGACAAACATGCCCTGTTTCCAGCCTTGACATCTCGGTTCAGCTGGGTATGACATACAAGAGGTAAAGCTGCGTCCGTTTTCGACCTGTTTATCTTGGGAACGCATTTCGTTCGCAGGTATGTTGACAACGAGAATGTGTCCAACATGGTTGACCCACTGTTGGTACGTTGCCGGGTTCTATGCTGAAGATTTCACAACTTCGGCACTGCGCGCCATGTCACCCGCATCACCCGCCCATGGAGCACTGACCCATGGGTCACTTGAGTCACTTGGATCGCTGACCCATGAGTCACTGGAACACGAACTCCGTGACATCCTGGGACTCCATGGGCTCATCAACTGGCATCGGATCACGCAGATCTGGTTCGCCCACGCCTGGGGTCATTGGCAGCTGGGCGTTCGCGGCTGTTGCGCCACTTGCAACATGCTCCTGTCTTTCCAGCTCTGTACTTACGGGCAGCTTGGCCACAGCATGTGAAAGGTCATGAACCCGTGCACCTACCACAGTAGACCCCTCAACTCATAGCAGCCTGTCAGCCCAAAATTATGGTACAAGTTCTCACAATAGTTATAACACATTTCATCACAGCACGTTACATCACTGTGGTGAATCACCCTTAACATTCCCATAATATAAAATGTTAATACCGAGTGAGTTTATTGTTTAAATATTTGTGAGTTTGACGGATTAAATGAAGCATCCCCACTTTTGGGATGACCTGTCCCAAAAATGGGGATGACCAGTCCCAACTTTTGGGATGAAGATTAGGCGACACCGTCCCCTGATTTGTGCTGGTACTGACGAAGACGTATATTACAAGTTGCCCCATAAACCATACAAACAAATTAAATTGTAAGATTGTTGCTATAAATTTCAAGGGGGGGGGGGGTATTTTTGTGGATTTTGGGTTTTGGAATACTATGTAACATTTATGTGTGATTTTTTTTTAAAGATGGTCTGGACTTAAAGGGACGTTATGAAACTATAGTAAGGATGGACGAAACTGAAAAAGTAAAATGCACTTCGTGTAGATGTAAAAACACTTTCTAGTCAATTAGTTGCTGAGAAAACTTGGTGCTGAAAATGGCAAGAGATATAGAGCAAATAGTCCTGAAATAATTAAAGAGGTAAGCAAGAAATAGTATGCTGAAAATTATGAAATTAATGGCAACAATAAATATAAACAATCATATTGATAAATAATGTGAAGTATGTAAATGTCAGATTAAAAACACCTAACTGGTCTAGGCATTTGAAGAGCAAAAAACCATTTGGATAATTTAGATGGTCGGAACTGAGGGGTTTATGCTTATATAATTTTATGAATAAACATATCATAATATTTTATATTATGGGGATGTTAAGGGTGATGTGGCGTGCTGTGATGAAATGTGTAAAAACTATTGTGAATATTTGTATAGTAACTTTTGGGCTGACGGGATGTTATGAATTGAGGGGTCTACTGTGGTATAGGTGCAGCCACCCCTCCTTCGGAAAACAAATAGTGGCCGTGACTTGTGGCTAGCATTTGAGCGGTAAGTTGCACCCCTGAGCAAAAAGCAGGCTGATGGATTTGTAGAAATTACCATCAAATTCGGGGAGCTCTCTCTTTGCATCGGCGGCTTTGGCGTCGTTTCTCACGAGGATCGACGTGGAGCACCGACTCTGGCTAGCGATTTGTCAAGGGCTGGCTGCCGTCTCGCTGTTCATGCAGTGGTGGCTGGCGAGCCCTTACATGCCCTTCGCCTCTAAGAGCCGGACACAGGGAACTCAAACGGATCGATTTGGGGACAACAGACCCCGACTTGCGTTTGACTTTCCGAGTGGTTTAGAGCCTTTCCAATGTTGTGCTTTCCCAGAGAGCTTGCTCAGTGGGCACATGTCCATTTCGAGGGGTCCCAGGTCAGGATATCAACCCCGTTCAATGAACGCAGAGTCCGGCTGGTTTGAAGCCATCATTAGTGTTTCCAAAGCTAGAGGGGGGATCCATCTCACAGATATTTGCTTGTGTACATCTGAGACGCCGAGGTTTCTGATCAGGGCCAGCGCTTGCGTTGCCAAATCGCTGATTCTGTTGCACCTGACCATTTGCGGCCGCAACTCCATGTTCAATCCTGTCGACTGCGATATGGTGAAGTGGGACGACCCCCGCGTACCCTTCCGCAGCACGGACAGATAGCTTTTGTTTGTTTTGTGCCGAATTGATATGTTGGTTGGCTGGCTGTCGTCTGCCTGCCTGCTTGCCTGCCTGCCTGGTCGAACATTGGTTGATGGAAGCCCGCGATAGGATGGGTTCAGTTTCCTTTGTTGCAAAGTGGTTAAGGCAGTTCCACGGGCCAGGCTAGAGCCCAGCAGGATTCCCAAATCTCGCTGTCGCTGGCACCGGCCTCGCGCCCATGTTTGGCCGGCGCTCGACTGAGGCCTTACTCCTGATCAGCCTGGGGGATCAATCTGTTTATTTGTTTCTCCGCTGCCAAGTGTTCAAGCTGGTCCGTCGTCCTGTGTTTTTGTTGTTTCCTACCCGTGCTGTTAAATACCGCAATCAATCAGAAGTATTCTCTATGTATCACATGGGTGTGGGTCAACCATACCCAGAATGAAGCCCTGGTAAATGGAAACAAGGACGAACACCTGCAGTCCCCTGATGGTTGTATTTTGACTCATGCCCACTGAGGCATCATGCATGGCATTATGGTTGTCTATTGGATGGCCACTGCCTCGTCGCTGACCATGCAGTTCCTGCAGCCGCTCAGAGGTGAGATCAACAAAAAGGTTCGGTGCTCACTTTAGGAAAGGGTGCTACTGTGGATGGACGAAGTCCATTTCGCACCACCTAAGAAACCCTGCAATAATCATTCCCCTGTAAATAACAAACCATGGCTTCCCATGGTTTCAAAGTAGTGCAGGATTTCGTCCATCCACAGAATTTCCTGATTAATCCGGACCCTGCTAGTCAGACGAAAGCCCCCAAGAAGATCATTTCCTTGGAACCATCCCCGATTAGTACAGTCCTTGGGATTAGCCTGAAGTCGGCATAGGGTTTGATTCCCTGCTCAACTCCCACCTGTTCGCTGGCAAACAAAGTGCCCTTTTCGGGAGGCGGGCGAACCCCAAAAAGGCTTCCCCTCTTAGCCATGAAAAAACACGGAAAGATTTCGTAGTTTCCCTTTTCATGTCAAACACGGAAAGGCTTCCCCTCTTAGCCCTACGAAGGCGAGGGCTTGGCCTGCCATGAAGCCCTCCGCTAAGCCGCTAGGCGTCAGCTCCACGACGGGCAACATCCAGCTCTGGATCCGCGCGCGGATCCGAGCCACTGGAGCGCCGGAGCCAAATGGCTGGAAGTTTTTTGGGGTGTTCTTTTTGGTGGGTGAAGAGGGACACCTTGAATTCCTTTCGCAGAGTTCCTAGGGGGCTATTGTATTTCCGCAAAAGGCACCAACACGCAAACCCCGGCTGTGGGAACCAGGTTGGCCTTGTTGAACAATTGTGATCCAAGGGACGGTAACCCTGCTTGAGGTGCAGAACTAGCAAGGCAAGGTCCGCAAGTTTGGTTTCCCGTTCACGACATTTCAAGCGGGTTTCTCCAACCCGTCTTGACAGGTGGTAGCAGCTGACCCAGCTGATTGGTAAGCACTCTTCTCCTTTTGGAGGGGGCTTTTCAGCAAAACGGGTCAACCCGTACCAAGTGGTCCCTTCTTCTACCCTTTGGTGAATTTTGCTTGGATGTTAGGACTTTAAGTTTTTGCCAACTACTGGGTTTTCCAATAAATCACTAAAAGTTAAGCTTTTAGCAGGGGAGCAGAAAGCAACCGAGTTACCGGGGTCACAGGGGAGGTACAGGCGAGTCAGGTGCCTGTGCAGCTGGCCCGTGGTATCCTCAAGCCGATCCTGCTCACGGGCACGGAATACGAGCGCGCGCCCATCGAAGCGGTGATCAACATCACCAGGGCGGGCTTGATCTGCATCGTCGCGCTCCGGCTGGGGCTGTTTTTATGGTGGGTTGTTTGGTCCACCATATTCAGATTGAATGGTATTGATATTATTGGATTGTGGTGGTTTATATGGTCCACTAAATACACATGGAATGGTATTATTATTCTCATTGTTATTGTTGAATTATGTTTTTGAATGGGTGTTAGCCATCAGGAAGCCGCAGGAAATCCTTGCAGCTTTTGGGTTAGGAATTTCAACCAGCTATTGGTTTCCACTGATTGGGGAGACATGACATGCGATTCCGAGCTGGAGCTGCCAAAGTGGAAGCCGCATACTGCACAGGTGCTGAAAAGTTGCGATCTTTTAGCTTGAGCTGCCAAAGGGCAAACACCTTGCAAAAGCACAAGGAGGAGAAACAAAGACCACATCCAAAGGAATCGCAGAAACTCATGGTGTTTCTTTGTAACGTCAGCACAGCAAGAATGAATCCTCTCCCTGCTTGTCGTCATGTACCGAAGACAATCCTTCCGATTCCGCATGAAGATTCTTCCGGAAATGTCCTTTGTCAGCGGGAAACACAGGTGTTGACTTGCTTGGCGTTTTATGTTCATGGAATATGCATGTGCAATCAGTTCATGTCCTTGAGATGAGGCATCTCGGTAATTGACAAGGGGCATGTTTGGGAACCAGCATTTCGGCAAGCCATGTGCTTCTTTGAGTTTATGTTCCTCTTTCCTTGCGAGATGGCTGTGAAAGAACGTGTCCTTAGAAGGTCAACAGCCCGCACCAGTTGGTCGGTAGTTTTTCCCGGTGTTCAGCATGGGGTTTTACATTAAAAAGACAAAAACGACTGGTGCAGGATCTGTGATCCACATAATGTTTGAGAATTTTCTTTTGAAGCTCAGGTCTGGTCTCTGGATAACCAGTGGCGCACCAGCGGAGTGGTGCACGCATACAGCCCCGATGCGACTCCGCATGATGAGGATCAGGATGCTTGTCAACAGTAGGCGTTGTTGCTCTTCGAACCTTTAAATCTTCAACAGGGTCCCATTTCTAAAACTCATTCCATGGCCCGTTTCAACCAGCGGTTTTCATGGCCTCAACAAGGCCTTCACGGCTTGTCCTGGCATCCCCCGCACAGACCCCATCCCCCACGGCCCCATGATTGGCAAGCAGTCGAATCCTTCATGTTGGCTTTTCCCCATGAGGCTAGACTTGTCGCTGGTGAAAGTACGAGCAAAATGACAAGAAAGACTCGTGGACGCTCATATTACCTCAATGATCTGAGGCATTGATGTTTTTGTATTGGGTGCTCGTTTCTGTTGGTTTCAAAGGAGACCCAAAGAAGAGTCACCATTTTGGCGATGCCCGAAAGAGACAAACCCATGGTGGCATGGCCGTGTTTTCAGCAAAATGAGCTGCAGGGTAGCTTCGCTTGAGTATCGTGAGTGGGAAAGCTCTTGTGATTCTAGTGCAAGTCTGTGAGGCTCGGACCAGCCACACAAGCCTCGCGCTTTGCCCCTAATTCGCTCTCTTTCGAGAAGAGTGTGTGTAGGTGGTTCTTGTGACGGAAGCATTGGGGGGGGTTGGTTTTGAAAAACCATTCTGTGCGATCCCCAATTTGAGTATGGTTTAGTCCAAATCAAGGGTTCCGGTCTCTAGGCGTTCCTTGTTCGCTACTTAAGCCAAAAGCGCGTCGTTGGCCAAGGATTTGTCCACCTGCACCAGTGACGAGTCCATCAAGTCTGTATTGGACGAGATCCCTGAGCTCCTGCAATGAGTCAGTCAGGTGAGCTTTGCCCAAAGCCTTTGCCGGTCCCGATGGGATTACCCCTGGGGCCTACAGGCTTTGGTATTCTCCTGCAACCCAAACCCAGGGTTTGAGCGCGACTCATCCTGCGAGTCCGTGTGTTCAGGTTTCACTTCTGGTGCCCAGCAAACCACAAGATTGTAGTTTAGACTCCTTGCATGCAACTTAAGCAATCCCAAACGTAGACGTATGTTCGCCGGCCAGAAACGGGGGAGCCATAAAAAGCGTTGACTCTTGCCTTCGACATTTTACATGAGGCCACATGTGCCGCCTGCCAGTTGGACATCGACTTTAGTCATCCCGCGCCCATTTGAGGCCACTGGTAGTTGGAGGTGACTCCCCCGTTTAGGGAGCTCCGAAAGCAAGCGTGGATCGAATACCCGAAGTTTGTATATGTGCGCCACTTGCCAAAGTCGCAAAACTGGAGCACAAAGGTGAAAATTGAATGTGCCCAGTGCTGTGCTTTCGATATTCTTTGGTTGGAGAGTAAATGAAATTGCCAAATGCGTTGGCCCACTCTGCCCTGAAAGACTTTTTTTGCAGGAAGGGTAACTGTTTGGGGACTAAGTAGCCACTTCGGGTTATGGGGGTCCCCTACATGAGGTTTTATACGGTAGCCTCTGCTTAGGTTATGAGGTCCCCAACGGCCATGAGAAGTCCCAGTCGCTTGTCAGGGGCCGGTAGGAGCCTTTGCTGAGGCTGTAGCTGTGGCAGCTTCGAGCTGGAGCTCCAGGCAGGCCTCTGGAGTGCTTCCAGAAAGGAGTTCCTCCATTTGGCAGACCTGGTACCCTGTTTGGGGGCCAGAGGTGAACCGGGAAAATTTGTGTGTGGTCTTTCCTTGCTGGACACAAACCCGGCGGGGTTGTACAAAACATTATGCTACCAGTTGGTATTCTGTGGACCCTTGTCTCCAAAGCTGCTGCGTTTTAGTGCAACAAAAATAAGAATCAATGCAACGACGGTGATCACAGAAGTTGCTTTTTGCACGCGCTGCATTGCACATTTTCTCATCAAACTGTTTGACACGTGGTATGGACTCCGACTTTGACTGCTACTATGCGAGATGTGCCAGAACATGTTCTTCCTATACTTGGAAGCCTTCCGAGCCTATACACGCTGTAAAATTAGTGTTTGAATCATGCAAGGCACAGGCTAATAGGTCTTTCATGGCTTGACGGTAGTTGCACGAATACCGTTTGCGGACAACGGAACAACTTACCCAGACTTGCTGGGCGAATCAATGACCATTTGTTGCAGATACCGGTGTTTGAGCAGTTTTGTTGGCAATGTGGGAGGTATCACGCTTGGCCATCGAACATTGTGTCAAGTGGCCGGCATTTGCATCCTGGCGACCTCGCACAAGGCAGCAAGAGCCGGAAAATGAAAATGCGTCACCAAGCCCAAGATGTGGGAATTAGACCAACCAAGCCAAAACTACCTTGGAATCCAAAGGCTCGACACCCCACATGCCAGCGGAGGCGCTGAACTTCAGCACCGCCTACGGCTACTCCGCCAGCGGCTTCGTGGCGCGGCGCCCTCGGATGGCCGGAGAGGGGATCCCCCGGACGCGTTTGCATAGAGTTTCTGTACATACCTGGAATTCCCAGGTGTGTGTAAAAATTCCGCCTTTTGAACGAAAACAAGTGCAATTCCAATCAGATTCAGCACCCTTGGGCTTTCCAGGTATGCAACGAATCCACGGCTGCCGCCCAGATGGAAGGAGATGGAAAACCCAGTTGCAGATGGAAAGAGGTGGAAACCCAAATCAGTGAGAAGTTCTTGGATAGGTGGGGTCCTTGAAGCTTCGCTGGAAGCAAGCCCATTGCAGTCAATGTGTTTTGTTTTGGGCGAGGGTAATGCTAGTAGTGTCGACCATTTTAAGTTTAGTCTAGAGGCCCTGCAGCGATGTTACTAGGGATGACCTATTCACCACATCATCAGTTTGTGGACTTTTTCTTAGCCCAACTTGAGCTGCAAACTTTCTTCTCTCCAAAGAAATGGGTTTGGATGTGTTTGCGGGGGACCGGTTTGGTTCGTCGGCAAGTTGACAGGGAAACAAACATGTTTTTGGAGACAAACCCAAATACATCAGCATTTGCATGCGCTGGGAATTGATTGAGGCCACCAGCAGTTGAGTCGTTGAGGGGTCACTGAACCTGCGCAATTTGGCTTGGCATTTTGGAATAGAATCCTCTGTCCAACGCAAGGCGCGGCGAAAATCTCTAAACCGCTCTGGCTCAAGCAACCAACCACTTTCATTGCGCTTGCAAGGCAAGGAATTTGTCAAAATGGTGTTGCCCACCCTAGTTCAAATCCACACCTTAGCGTTTGGTTTAATTCACCAATGGACCATTGGTGAGCAACGCACTTTCGAGCGCTTTTCCCCCTGCCCATAATACTGTGATGTGTAAAATCGGTTCTGATCCTTTCAGGGGACAATTCTCGAGGGGGCCCTTGAAAATAAATTTCATGTGTGCAGCGCAACCACCAAAAGTCCCTTTAAGTCCCTTTGTATTCCAGTTTAATCTCCAAACCCCCAGTTCTCAGCTATATACCCTTGCCTCAGTTGGGACGTTTTGTTGACCCCTTGACGGGTCATTGGAAACACATCCGCATGTTTCCCGCCGAAGCGAGGTCCGAGTGCTCCGCTGCGAGCCTGGCGCAGCGCAGTTGCCTCACGTCGGCGCGCCCGGACGCGCGGCTCGCGGGGCGACTGCGGGTGCACTGCGCGGAAGCGAGCGCTTCGGCAAGCAGTGGCTGTGACTCTTAAGACTTGAACTTCGGGCGACCCACTGATTTTGGGGCTCAAGATCCCACTGGCGTTGTTTGTGTGAGAGGAAGTAGGCAGTTGTTGCGTGTGTGTGTGTGTGTGTGTTTTGCGTTCCAAAAAGGAGTCGTCTGTGTTTTTGGGATATGTGTTGTGGCAATGGACGACAGCGGAAAGTTGGCAAGGCTGTCGTAGCAGCGTCTAGTGCTTGAAGCATTAGGAGGAATATCGCTGGAGGTGTTTCTGTGTGATACATCATGTTTTAGCGTTGGCTTTGATCGTTGGTGTACATTGGACATGCGTCAGGCTGGGGGGAGCGTGGCTGCAGGGTTCCAAGCGAAACAAGTTATGGCGGATGGGTTCGTTGCACGTAGCGCTCAGGTAGTGACTTCACCATCTCTTCCGAAGTGATCACGCCGCCTGCGTGCAAGTGGGTGACTCATGCAGGCACCGAAGCTTGGTTGAAATTCATGTCACGGTGATCTGAGCTGATACACGCCAACAAAACAGGCAAGAAGCGTCGAGCAGATTTGCCGTGCTAACGTTTGCAGGCACCGAAGCTTGGGGTTTGCCGAGGTGATCATCAATGAAATAGTAGATGCTGGTGACAAACAAGTGATGTTGCAAATCCGTTCTTGCTTGCAAAGTCGCAAATTGGAGCACGTTGCTTGCTTGTGAGCATCAATCCGTTTGTATTTCCGTTGAGTGCCCTTTACGGCGGTCCCTTACTTCTGGTTAGCCGTCATCCGCCATTTGACCAGTTACTTTGTTTTCTGTCCGGTGGTCTGTTGCTCTTTTGCTTCAAACACGGAATCACAGGATCACCTTGGTACAAACCACAAGCTGAGCTAGGCACGTGGTTCCCAATGAAGTTTCTTCCTATGCGGGCTGCTTTAAATTGTTGCCCCTTGGGACTCAGAGCCGGGGAAACTTGAATGGTCCACGTGTTTTGTTGGGCAAGCCTGAGGAGGACATGGCGACTCCTCGTGCTTGGAATCAAGATTCGCGAAACTATCTCATTTTAGTATCTCCAGCTGGGCGAACAACTCGCATCGCCCGTGATCGAGTGTCTGAGTGTCTGTTAGCAACTCTGCAACTGATAGTCCAATTATGGAATGGGGTCACCTTCGGCAAACGGAAGCGATATCAATCTTGTTGTGACGCATAGCAATGCATTGTTTGCTGGAAAAGTCGGGGGCAATACTGTAAATAGGGAGGTTCCTTCTGGTTCCCTTCTTGGGTGTTTTCAGAAAGCCACTCTTTCGTTCTGGGCGAACCTATAATTCCTCGCTATCCAAGAAGACTCGAGGCTTGTTGGTGTCTTGGCGACCGAACTGCGAAAGAATATGTACCACTGCGAAATAGAGTTGGGAATCGTAACTCATACTATAACCAGAATCGTGCTACACGTATAGGAACAAGCTTAAGGTATGTTAAAGATATATACATTCCTAGAACATGCTACTGTAAGGCACATACAATACATTAAATATATGCTATTATGTGCTAGATTAAAAAAAAAACTATTATGTGCTAGATAATTAAAAAAGTACTGTGCCAAATCAAAGACATAATGACTCCACGGTTCCAATATTGATTCAGAGCCTTAGCAAGGGGAGCCAGCAAACGTTCCCCCCTCCCCCCCCTCAAAGAAAACAACAACTATCAACATGATGGACAGAGCCGTAGCTGGAAAGGGGGGATGAGCTGGTGGAGGCAAAAAACGGGGGGGGGGGGGCATAGGCTGAAGCTTAATTAACGCATTGGTTGGAGACGTGGAGTCGGCCAGTCCTAGGATGAGTACGAGTGCATGGACGGCAGCTTCTGCAACATCAGCAGCTGCTGCAACGAGCACGGGGGCCGTGCCAGGTGCCCGTCTGGGTCTCCAGTGATGTGCCCCCTGGCAGAAAAGGAGTCCTTGCAGCTTTATCCCCCAGAAAGACCCACCCCCCCCACTCCCTGAGAAGTAGCATGGAACCGGAGATCACTCTGTCAGGAGTCTCCTCGTTAGGGAGCCCTTTTTTGTTAAGTTGTAAGTCCGCCTGGTTTTTGTGGGGAAGTCTATTAGTCCGCAATCTCCCTCCCACATGGTTCATCGACTACTGGATTTGTTGACCAAACCTCATATGGAATCACGTTGTTTCGAATGCTACGTTGTCAGATTCCTGCATGTCTTTATGATCTGGGTTGTGATGAGTCAGTCAAATAATGATAGATATCTCGAAATAAGCCCTGTTGGCATCCGCAACCCGAACCCCTCTCCGTGCCACCAAGAACCCACTTCAGCAACATCCTCCGGAACCCTTTCCAGCAACTGCCCCGTGGATCCTCGGAATCTTCCTCCCGAACCCTATTCAGTAATTGCTTCATGGAACGCTCAGAACCTTGTTTCTGGAGTTTTTGGGAACCTTCAAGAACTGTCTGGAACCCTGCCCAACCGCTCCATGGAACCCCCCGGAACTTTCCTGAACCCTACTTTAGAGGTGCTCTGGACCACCGGGCAAAGACCTCATGGTTTTCAGCTGTTATTGAACAATTGTTGCAGAGGTTCCCTGTCATTGGGGGGCTTGAACTGCATCTCAGAATGCGGAAGTCGTGAGTGATGACAGTCGAGGGCCCCGCTTGAGTTCCTTGTGTGCCGAGCCCGCGGGCCCCAAATAAGAGATCTGCATTTACGTGCGTCAACACTTGGAGATTTTTGTCGGTACAATGTTCAGAGGAAACGAAAGAGCACTTCAATTGGAACAGGGCGGTGTGGAGGAGCTTTTGGTTGGATCCATTAATGTAAGCAATGTCACACAGGCTCTTCTGAATTCGAGGATTTATGCCTACCAGGATTGCGGGAATCAGTAGCTGTTCAGTGGCCGGTCCCGCCATCTTTGCCCAGTGTTGTTGCTTCCTCCACATTGGCATCCTAATGTTCTTGCTCAGCTTTGACGGGCCAGTTGGGTCAGCGAGAGACAGGATTGTTGGACATCACCACCCATCAGTAAATATGAGTAACCATCGATTTCACCGTGATCTGAAGAAAAGAGACACGGCACTCACCAAGCTACCGTTATGATGTAATTAATGATGAGTGTGCCAAGATTTACCGGTTGACCCTCCGATATGTTTGTTCATGGTCCCTGCGCCGGAGCTCAGGTGATCGGGATCTGGACTGCGCTGATGGCCAGGACTCTGAAGATCTCAACGCCGATGGTCATTTTGGCCTTGGGGAAATCAGCCGGAGAACAGGCTGCGATTTCCTTCGCGTCCCCAAACGGAAGCTTGGGTTTGAGGTCTATGTTCTATATATATATATATATGATACCTGCCTGGAGGGTTGGGTAAAAAGGCCCGTGTTCTCTAAGAAATACGCAGAAACCTTCAAAGCAGCAAAGCACGGTCATAAGGGGCACTGTGGATAGTCCCCATGCCCTTCCCGTTGGTGAGGATCACTGCTGCATGGAGACGGCAGAGGCCTGCGGGCCCCACAACGGTCCAAGGCCTTGCCTCTACGCGGAGGTGCCTTCCAAGGCCCGAGAGACGGACGGTCAAGGGATTGGGAGATACTGCCAGAGAATTCCCATGCACCATGGTGTCAAGAACATATTGACAACGTATGTGTATATCAATATGTACACCTGAAATTTAGCAGGGAATTGGGGCAATGTATAGCTGCATGGCGGCTTGCAATCTCACCCAGCGTCACACGGATTCTTTCTTGTTCTGTGTTGGTGTGCGTCATTTACTTGCTCCAAATCCAAGCCTGTTTCTTTGTCAGGGAAGCCTCAGACTGCTTTCAAAGTGGTCCAACATGTTTTTGTCGTTTTCCAGCGATTATCACAAAGGTTGCCTTCATAGGGATCAGTTATTTCATGGTTATCAGACTCTTTCTGAAAGGCGCCCAACAAGTCTTGTTTGGTTCCGTTTTCGCTGGATGTTTGGAGGGAACATCCGCTTGACAGGCGGCCCACCTAGCAAAAGGCTCGATTTGTTGCGCCAGGCCCCCGTGATCACGGCGGTGACGTCTATGGCACCCAACGAGCTGACGGTTTCGTGGCAGCTGGCGAGCTATCTCAACGGCGCGGGCTCAAGGCCGGAACTGCGGATGGCTCTGCCGATAGGGCGAGCTCACCGGTTCCGGGGGTATAACGAGCTCACCATGGGAAAGGTGCTGTACTTGGGGCTCCAACTCTCATTTCAGGTTTTGGAGTTGTAATATGCTTCCTTTGAAAAACCTTAAAAGTGGTCCTACTGTGAATGGTTGCGAATTCCGCTGCTCGCACCACTTTGAAACCATGGTTGAAGCCATTCCCTTCTGTCCTCCTGCCACTGATGTTTGTTTGCGGTTTAAGCGTTCCCTACTGTGACTGTTCAGAAGCCCTGGTTTCTGATTCGACTCCCCAATGTATATAGCAACAAACGTTATGGTTTGAAGAGATGGTTTCACAGTGGTGCGAACAGATGGCGGCCATCCGCAGTAGGGGGAGGTCCGGCCCCAAATAAAGTGAAGGAACTTCTTTGTGGACACCCTATTAATGTTGTGTCAACATGAACCAGCCATGAGCCCTGTTAAATCCAGCCGGTTGGGATGCCCACAAGCAATCCCGTTCCTTTGGTTTGAAGGGACACCAAAGAGAAACCAACCGTTTTTTGGGGCCCCCTGTTTTAAGATTCTTTCTTTGCGCAACCTTTGGTTCTAGCTACGAGTGTTCAAAGCTTGCGCTTGCAAGGGGCGAACTGCACAGAACGTTTTCAGTCGCCTTGGATAGGCCTTGATTGACTTCCTCACGAACAGATGCGCCTGTATGATTAATGACTCTGTTGTTTTGTGCTACTTTGAGAACATGGTATTTGCAGGATTTAAGCTTGTGCTTGCTGAGCATGGTGCATAGCCCTGATCTGGCCCTGCTCATGTTCCCTGCCATACCGGATGATGTCCATTGTTCACCCAGCCCTTGTGTTGGTGCTTAATTAGCTTTGTCTAGTATGATGTTCTGGCTGCATAATCGGTGGCCACAAACTGTTCTACATGAGGGAACCCTGCCCGCTAAACAAATGAACCGTTTCCATTAAGATTCCCTGGCCAAACCAACCCAAAACGGGTACCTCAACAAAGACCGCCAGTTTTGTTTCTGGAGGCTAGGCTAGTCTAGGGGAAGGGGACAGGAAAGCCAAACTGGTGATCGGAAGAGTCCAGGAACACCTTCGGCGTCCGTTGCCGCAGGTGCTCCTTCAGATTTTGGCCGTGCCGGGCATGTTTGGCGCATGGCGAGGGATGGGGACGGAGCGGTGGCAGGCAGCAAATAGTTTCTAGTCCCGGCTGCAAATTGTCCTGTCATACAACCCAAACTGGGGGTCCTTCAACAGGAGATTCCTTTAGTAATGATATGTTTTGATTATTTTTGTCTTTCATGTGAATCCGCAGGGCGTTGCCCTCGGGAGCGGACTTAAACCAGAAACCGCTTGGGCCGAACTCCTCTAGATTCGGAGCGCCGGATTCTTCTTGGACTACCCCCATTTTGCAGACCCTGGATAGACGAGGCCTACTCGTCGGGATCTCATCGGGAAGAGGAAGCAAGAGAGGTCGTCAACCTGCGGCTGGAGCTGCATGCCAAGATCCAACGTCCATTTGTTGGTGAGGATTTACTGTTCCCTGTTTGGTTTAAAAGACAAAGTCGATTGATGTATACACAGCTTGCTTTGAGACAGGTTCAAACTTGATCACGAGCTGATGAATATCTTATTTCCGGGCCCTGTGGCAGCTCAGGCTCATGGAACCCTCTACAGCTTTGCAACATGAACCCTGCCAATGCGCACGGCTCGTGTCGCGCGTGCTTTGACAAATTGTCTTAGGTGTTCGCATGTGACTACATGGCTTACAGTGTTCGATTTTAGCGGTGCTACAGAATCATTGTCTTGGTTTTAAGATGTTCACCAACCAGTGGAATTTCCCTTGGCTTTATGTTGCAGATCCGCCGAATGAAGGATGATTATGTTGGTTCTGTTAAATGACCCACAAAACATGTGTTGATATTGGTTTGGTAATCAACCTTGGGGCCCTAGTTGGACTAATCCCTAAGGAAGGCTAGCCGATCAGTGTCACAAAGTGTCACATTGGGTTTTAAGCCAACAAAGCGAGCTGGCCTCACATCTAGCTCTGTCTGACAAAGCAGGTTGCAAGCGCTATATGCAGAGAGAGAGAGAGAACGAGTTACATAGAACTGGGGACTCTAAGCAGGCCATGGCCGTACTTGGGATGCTGAGTCCTTTCTTCAATTCTGTATGACGGTATGCCTGGGCGAAGTGATATATAATGTTTTTTTTGGAATTGGGGGTCCTGGACCCAATGAAAGCCTGAGCACACCCGCGTTGCTTCCTTGGAGGATGTCGTTGCCAGGTGTCCTAATTGTCCCGAGTTGTCAACATGCCCAGGTGTCCTCATTAGGTTAGTTTAGGTGGATGTGGTTTCAATACAATATATCACTGCTATTTTTCCAAACGACCTGACCTGGGGAGCCATTGCTTATCAGAAATTCGCCCATCCACAGGATTCATTCAAAGACTCAAGAAGGACATTGTTGGCAAGAGAGTGGTTGCGAGTGAAAATTAGGGTGGTTGTGAGTGCCGGAGGATTGCCAGATGAGGGCCACTTTAAAACATTTTGTGCATATTCAATTCAATAGGTTTATTTGAGATGCTTCCAGTCTTGGATCCTTGCCAAGTAAGGATGAGACTCATGTCAACGCGTGGCTGAGTAGTACACGTGTTTAACGAATCGAAGCGAGTGAGTTGCACCCAAGTAAGTAGGATCACCGACAAGACAATTCTCACATGCCTTAGTCTCACATGCAGGACGTCTTGCCTTTTTGACCACCGAAGGAAGCAACCAACAGTGCAGCTGGCACTTTGGGCTGTTCACATCAGCACCCACTACGCCGCCCAGCTTTCAAATACTTGGGCAATGTGGATTTCGATCTTAAGGGATTTGGTTTGCGACAGGCGTGATGAAGATGTCTCTTGGTGGGAGGTCCCTGATGTTTGGCTGGTGAATGAGTAGAATTCACTCACACGTATGGACGACCAGCTATAAGCACGGCTTTTGCCTCCCCTTCACTGGTAGGATCCTTAGCCAGCAAACGCCAGGCGTTTGGAGCTCTCGGTAGAGGATGGCCCCTGGACGATGGCCAGCCACTGGGCAGGGAAATTAGGGAAGTTTAGGGCAAGTCACCGGGAGACGCGTCACCCCCCCCAAGTGCGTGCGTGTGTATATATATTTACATATATATATATATATTATTCATTTAGTTACAGTATATCTGTGTGTTTGTTTGTTTTTGTTTGTGTGTTTATGTGTTTATTGTGTGTTATTGTGTGTTATTGTGTGTTTGTGTTTGTTTGTTTGCTTGTTTGTGTGTTTGTTTGTTTGTTTGTTTGTTTGTTTGTTTGTTTGTTTGTTTGTTTGCTTGTGTGTGTGTGGGTGCGTGCGTGCGTGCGTGTGTGGGTGCGTGCGTGCGTGCGTGCGTGCGTGCGTGCGTGCGTGCGTGCGTGCGTGCGTGCGTGCGTGCGTGCGTGCGTGCGTGCGTGCGTGCGTGCGTGCGTGCGTGCGTGCGTGCGTGCGTGCGTGCGTGCGTGCGTGCGTGCGTGCGTGCGTGCGTGCGTGCGTGCGTGCGTGCGTGCGTGCGTGCGTGCGTGCGTGCGTGCGTGCGTGCGTGCGTGCGTGCGTGCGTGCGTGCGTGCGTGCGTGCGTGCGTGCGTGCGTGCGTGCGTGCGTGCGTGCGTGCGTGCGTGCGCGTGCGTGCGTGCGTGCGTGCGTGCGTGTGTGTGTGTGTGTGTGTGTGTGTGTGTGTGTGTGTGTGTGTGTGTGTGTGTGTGTGTGTGTGTGTGTGTGTTTGTTTGTTTGTTTGTTTGTTTGTTTGTTTGTTTGTTTGTTTGTTTGTGTTTGTGTTTGTGTTTGTGTTTGTTTTGTTTGTTTGTGTTTCCGTTTGTGTTTGTGTCTGTGTTTGTGTTTGTGTTTGTTTGATTTATTTAATGGCCTGCGGCCTGGTTCCGCCGCCCCCCACACACCTTAGAATTTCGGCCCGGGACGAGAGAAAGCACGCGATATGTAGACAGACACAGACAGACACAAACGCAGACAGACACGCAGCGGGGGGGGGAGGGTCTTCGCGGACACGAAGACAGACGCAGATGCGCAGGCAGACGCAGACAGAGCCAGACAGACACAAAGACACGCGGGGGGGGGACACGAAGAAAGACGCAGATACGTAGACAGACACAGACAGACACAGACAGACACAAAGAGACGCGGACACGAAGACAGACGCAGACTGACCCAGACAGACACAAAGAGACACAGACAGACTCGCAGGGGCAGGGGGGGTCTTCGCGGATACGAAGACAGATGCAGATACGTAGACAGACATAGACAGACACAGGGGGGGGCGGAGGGGTGGGGGAAGACTACCCGAAGCCTAGGGAAGAAGCCCGAAAGCCCAGGACACGCGCGTTGTTTGGTCCCGAAACAGTATCGGAAGACTAGCCGGAAGATTACGGAAGACTACGGGAAGAAGCCGAAAGATTGCGGAAATTTACGGGAAGAAGCTTGAAAGAAAGACTACGGGAAGAAGAAGACTACGGAAGACTACGGAAGACTACTGGAAGAAGCCGAAAGATTACGGAAGATTTACGGGAAGAAGCCGGAAGACTACGGAAGACTACTGGAAGAAGCCGAAAGATTACGGAAGATTACTGGAAGAAGCCGGAAGACTACGGAAGACTACGACCGGGGGAGGGGGGGGTGGGGGGGGGGGGAGGGGGGGGGGGGGGGAGGGGGGGGGAAATCCAGAAGATCCAGAAATCCAGAGATCCAGAAATCCAGAAATCCAGAAATCCAGCCGACGTAGAAACCAGCCCCAAGGGCCGCCCCAAGGGACATATAGGTATATATATATATATACATAATCATATTCACATTAAACTTATAGAAAGCATATCAACAAAAGCAACACAGAACACACCGCCCCCATGCCGAAAGCATGGTCCATTCTGGACCAGGCATGGGGTCGGCGGATTTGATTTGATTTGATTTGATTTGGTTTGATTGCTTGATTGATTTCATTGATTGATTCATTGATTGATTGATTGATTGATTGACTGATTGCTTTATTGAGTGATTGATTTGATTGATTGATTGATTTGATTGATTGATTGATTGATTGATTGATTGATTGATTGATTGATTGATTGATTGATTGATTGATTGATTGATTGATTGATTGATTGATTAATTGATTGATTGATTGATTGATTTGATTTGATTGATTGATTGATTGATTGATTTGAATGATTGATTGATTGATTGATTGATTGATTGATTGATTGATTGATTGATTGATTGATTGATTGATTGATTGATTGGATTCGATTGGATTGGATTGGATTGGATTGGAGTTTATTTGATTTGATTTGATTGGTTTGATTGATTGGTTTGATTGATTGATTGATTGATTAATTGATTGATTGCTTGATTGAATCGTTTGTTTGTTTGGTTGGTTGGTTTTGTTTGGTTTTGTTTGCTTTGGTTTGCTTGTTAGTTTTCTTTATTTATAATTGAGTTGGCCTTCATCCTGTTTGGGCAGGCGGCTGAATCCCAATGAACATATTTTATCTTCGTTCGGAGCTCTGTGTCTATTCCAAGCCCCAGGCCCACGCCACACAACTTATCGCAAATACACACCTGAGGAATGCTGGGACATGAGTCTGATTTATTTTCATACACTGAGGCGAGTGCACTTTTGGTCTTGCTTGTTGCTTGCCCGTCTGAGGCGAGTGCACATCACAAGATCGGCGTGTGACCAGCTGCACAGTGCACAGCCTGGAGACCAACTCCAACTACTCCTTGCGTCTGAGGGAAGCGTGCACCAACGCCCACTACGACTCGGAGCGGGGTTGACGAGTGACGGCGCCATTTGGAGGGTCTGGGAGGGAGGGCTCACAGCGCCAGAGATCTTACCTAGCGGAGGGATGATTTGAAGACTCACTTGGGCTGGTTGGGAGGTGTCCCTCTTCAGTAAGACAGAAACAGTTGCCAGGAGAGGCTAAACTCGCCTCTTGACACACTGCTTTCCTGCAGGCTTACAAGACTCTCCAGACCTGGGAAGAAGAACATTTCCCGGTTGTTTCATTCATTCCCCCGACCATCCCCACCCTAGAGCCCTTTGGGGTAGCAACCCTTCTGCTGTTCCTGAACTCAGTGAATTCTTAGGAGCAGTCTTACAGCCAACAAAGCAGCCATGGTGTATGCCCTGCTGGATCTCACCTTCCCCCGAGCGACCTCAGGTTTCTTGCGGGGACTATCCAACCGAGGGTTGGCCGTGATTTCCCTGTGATATCGAGGCGTCGGCCTTCTGTGTATACCTGCCTACACTTCTGTTTGCTTGTTGATTGTACGCGGGTGTCGCAACAGACATATTTGTTCTTTCCAAGAAGCGGAGAACCTCAGCGCCTGACTGTTTGAGCAAGAAGCCAACAACCTTTGGGGAGTACTAAACAAATACTCAACCAGAGTGCCGAGATTCTGGCTCAGGATGAACCAATGGTTTGAGGGGCTAAACTGTTATACACCCATTGTCTGGATGACTTCCGCTCCGCTTGCCTCAGGACTGGGCCCTGTCGGTGGCTGCCACGCTGCCGCGGCCGGCGGCGCGGCCGAGCCCGGCCTGCGGCAGCGCGCAGAAGCACAACGAAGCCATGCGGCTGCAGGCGAAAGCGGAGCCGAGGGTCACCGGTGGTTTTACCAAGACACCCAGGAATGCTTGCGGCATGTTTTCTGTTTTTTGAGGTGGCTTCAGTGCTCGTTTTTTTTTTTGGGGGGGTGTTTTTGATGGGGGTTCCCTTCTAAGATCAAATTTTGTCACAAAGGGTGGCCCTATTTCGCATGGCCTGGGCTTCTGAGGAAGTGGCGCTTTTTCCTGCACTGCTTATATTTGCACTTGCTTGACACCACCAGAACAATGCCAATTCGCCACTCACCAAAAATGCCAACCATGTGGGGGAAGGGAACCCTTAGAGCGTGTCTTCCAACGAGAGTCTCGCCATCTGCTGAGCCCCACCAAAGCGAGAAGCAACGTGGGTCTAAGTTTGTGCCAGCTGCTTGCAGGATGGTTGTGCGGGCTGGGGAGGTTTCTGCTTCTTTGTTGCCTCGGGTGAGCAGGTTCTGATGGACCAAGAACGATAGTTTCGGCACCAGGTTCACGTGACATTGCGGAAGTTGATTGAAGCCTTTGGTTCACGCAAAAGATTCCACCCCACGCAAAAGCAATTATAAGGGCGGCCTCTTCCATTTGTGGACGGGAATGTCCCCTGTGAAGCTCCAATTACCTGGCTCAAGTGGCTCCTTGAGAAATGAAGCACAAGTAAGTTGTGATTTGGTGGATATCTTGGGCCCGTGGCCCTAGTTGGTGCCATCCGCCCGCCAGCATTGTCAAGCGGGGCTCATGCTTTTTGATGGCGCGAGACACGTGTCGATCAAGGGGTTTCTGCATCTCATGAATGCACCCAACCATTTGAAAAGTATTCCTCGCAAGGTCGAGCTTTCATATTATATATCCTCTCGGTGCACGGATATTTTGAATTTCAAGAATTCTCCGAATCATAGTTGTCCATAATACTGTCCTACAAAGACACACCAGTCACACTATGCGCAAATGTTTTGACCATGCAAGGGTGGGTACATGACACCTGTGTAAGCTGGATTCTCGATATTAATTGAGTGAGCTATCAATCATTGGTCGTCCGCTTTCTTTAATTTGCTCGTGAGCCTTCTTGAGAGGTTTCCTGGACAGCTGGCGATCCTGGTGACTGTGTCTTCGAGGCGGGCTGCAAAAGTTCGACGCCAACTGGCAGTGGATAAAACATGTTTGACTAGGTCCCCCAGTAGTGCCTTCTACCCTTTTTTTAGGGAGGGTTCCCCTACTAAAATAGACTACACAAATAAGGGTACCCTGATTCTAACCTGTCTACCGGAGGACCTAGTTGAAATGCATCCGCGGGAAAAGCATTTGGCGCAGCGCGTTTATTGCATGACGCGCTTTGCTGGTCACTCAAATCAATGTCTATAAACCAACAGCCATCATTCCGGGCTGGGGCAAAATTTGCTGAACTCGGTCAGACCGACAGATCAGCCATCATTCCGGGCTGGGGCCATTTTCGCTGAACTCGGTCAGACCGACAGATCTGCACCGTTCCCCCGCATGGGCAACCATTTGCAGCAATACTGACATTTGTGCCCTCCGGGAGAATGATAACCATCTAGCTCATACCCGCTTTTTTCCAGAGGGGTTGCTATGGTGTGGCTTCATTTTGCACGTTCCAGGATGGCCCTAAGGGAGCAGAAATTGCCGGGTGAGAGAGACTGTTGTGGCGAAACTTGCCCAAACCCAACCTTTCGGCCTTTTGGTTGTTCGTTGTTGGTCCATGTTTGTTTAGTTCAGTGTCGTGCCTTTGTTTCCAAGTCTTTGGCGTGACTGATTTTGTGAGAAGGGCAAGTGTGTCCTGCCCTAGCTTAGGACGGCCAATCCCTCCCCCTGCTGACCCTTCCTTTAGGATTTCCACAACATGTTGTACAATGCCAGTTGGCCAGGATGTAGAACACACAAAGAGCCAAACAAGCAAGCAAGCAAGCAAGCAACCAACCAACCAACCAACCAACCACCTAAGAATCGCTGGGATCTGCTGGTTTGTTACTCGAGGCGTGGGAGGTGTATATGGAGCTTCTGCCGAGCGCCGGGCAGTGGATGCTGGCTTGTGTCAGTCAGGACGGGTGCAAATGGTGGTTTTTTGTTGTGTGACCTTTAACCATCCAACTGAAGACCTCCGGCAAGAGTTGCAATCACTTGCCGACAAAGCAAAAAAGCCTGCCTAACTGTCTGTCTCCAATCTACAATTTGCATGTCAACCCTTCATTCATGCACTTTACAGGGAAACATCCACTAGACTGCCCTTGTTTGCATGCAATTCCTTTCGGTGGCAAAGGGATACTAGGGTACACAAGGCTAAGGGTTGAAGGCATGAGGGGCCTGAACGTTATAGACCCCCCTTTTTCGAACCCCCCCCCCTGGCGTTTGAGCGTTTTGCACATGAGGACACAAGCTGCTTCGTGGATGGGCTGTTGTCCGGGCAGTACTACGGCGTCCGGACGCGACAGGCGCTTTGCGGCTTTGGGTTGAGTTTCGGCACGAGTGATGTAACAGCGTAGCAAAGCAATCCCTGCACCGCTTCTGTTGACAGCCTACTTCTGTTTACAGTGATGCTGTAACTTAGCTCGCTAGCCAGCCTCATATTGGAAGGACGCTTTTCTCAAGTTGTTAGGCTTGCAATCTGAAGCTGCTACTGTGCATACTGAAGGCAGCTGTGCAAAGCACATCCTTTTCCCTTCCGGAGTTTGCCAGACACGGATGTGTTTCTGGCTATGAGGCAATGGATCTCTCTCCCGAGAGGGGAGCTCAACATAGATCGGCCCTACCAACCAATGGTTCCACGGCGTACCAACCTCCAGGCCACTAGCCATGCACTCCCGACAGCTTGCCCCGCGGCCTTCGTTGTGACTGTTCAAGGCCGGAGGTTCAGACATCGCAGAGCCGCTGCCAAAAAGGACCAGACTCTGGCAGACGTTTCGTTGGACAAGCTTGGCACCTGCCTGTCTTTGCAAGAGGTGCGTTCTGTTTTTGGGGAACTTGGCTGGCGCTCCTTGTCAGTGAGGGAGATCTTCGATGGGCTGGCAGAAAGAAAGCGTTCCGACATGCTAGCTAGCACGCTACAGGTTCTCTTGGAAGGTCGAGTGCAGCTAGACGCAAAAGAGTTCACCATTGCACTTTCCACTTGCTCGAAGCTCCGAGTATGGCAAGATGCTTGCCGGATCCTCCAAGCCATGTCTGGAGCAACAGTTCAACCAAACATTTACAGCTTTAGCGCTACAATGAGTGCATGCAAGAAAAGTGGGCAATGGCAGCAGGTGCTGTCTTTGTTCCAGGCCATGCCGGAAGCAACTGTGCGCGCAAATAGCATCAGCTTCAACGACGCCATCAGCTCTTGCGAGAAAAATGGGCAGTGGCTGCAAGCCCTGGCTTTGTTCCAAGCCATGCGTGAAGCAAGATTGCAGCCAGATATTTACACATTCAGTCCAGCAATCAGCGCCTGCGCGACGGGCGGGCAATGGCAGCAAGCACTAGCCCTGTTCCGGGACATGCTCACAGCAAAGGTGACGGCAGATGCGATCAGTTTCAACACAACCATTGTCGCGTGCCAGCAAAGTGGGCAGTGGCAGCAGGCGCTCGCTTTTTTCTGCGAGATGCCGAAAGCAGAGGTGCAGCCAGATATGTACACCTTCGGTGCCACCATTTGTGCCTGTGGAAACAGTGCGGAATGGCAGCGGGCACTGGCTTTGTTTTGGACCATGCCCGAAGCAAAGGTGCAAGCAAACGCTCACTGCTTTAGCGCGACCATCAGCGCCTGCGAGAAAGGTGCGCAGTGGCAGCAGGCACTGGCGCTTTTCCGCGCCGTACCGGAAACAACGATGCAAGAAAATGTGATCGTCTTTAATGCCACCATCAGCGCATGTGAGAAGGGCGAGAAATGGCAGCAGGCGCTTGCTCTGTTCCGGGAAATGCCCACAGCAAAGGTGCAGCCAGATATCTACAGTTTCAGTGCTACAATCAGCGCCTGCGAGAAAGATGGGCAGTGGCAACAAGCACTTGTTTTGTTCCATGAATTGCCCGAATCAGCTGTTCAAGCGAATGTGTATAGCTTTGCTGCGACCATCAGTGCCTGCGAAAAGGGTGGGCAGTGGCAGCAGGCGCTGGCCTTTTTTTGGGACATGCCTGAAAGCAGGGTGCAAGCAAATGATGTAACCTTTAACGCAACGATCAGTGCCTGCGACAAGTGTGGGGAATGGCAACAGGCGCTGGCTTTGTTTCACGCCATGCCTAACACAAAAGTACAAGCGGATGGGGTCAGCTTCAATGCTACCATGAGTGCCTGCAAGAAAGGCGGACAGTGGCAGAAAGCGCTGCTCCTTTTTCAGGCCATGCCAAAATCACGGGTGCGAGCACATGACATCAGTTTTTCTGCAGCAATTAGCGCCTGTGAGAAAGGCGGGCACTGGCAACAAGCGCTACCGTTGTTCCAAGCCATGCCTGAGGCAATTGTGCAACCTGACATTTACAGCTTCAGTGCCACAGTCAGCGCCTGTGAGAAAGCTGGGATATGGCAGCAGGCGTTGCCTTTGTTTTTGGCCATGTCCAAAGCAAAAGTACCACCAGATGAGATCAGCTTCAATGCAACCGTAAACGCCTGTGAAATAGGTTCACAGTGGCAGCTGGCGCTGGCTTTGTTTCGGGCCCTGCCTGACGAGGCGGTTCCGACGACTACGTGTAGCTTTAATGCAGCCATCAGCGCGAGCGAGAAAATGTCTGCAGTGGCAGCATCAGGCATTGGCAGTGGAGCAGAAAGCCGCTTGCTATGACTGCCTTCTTAGCCAATGTCCTTGGTGAGAGCCCTTCACAAACAGTGAGGAGGCTTCTCACAGATTTTGTTGTGTCATATTTGACCAGCAGTGCCACAGCTGGCCAACCGCTGTCATTGAACAAATCCAGCACAGGTTCCATTCATCACCTTACTTGGGCATCACTTTGCATGGCCCTCAAATCCTCCGACTGCAGAATTGTTTGTCCTTTTCTTGGAGGCTTCTCCTTAGAATGAAAGACCAAAAGAAACGATGCCCTTTTTCCTTGCGGAGATCCACAGGTGGGCGCTCAGTTTCTGCGAGGTGTGTTCAGATCCAGCTGCCAGCAGCGACTTCGCAGAGCTCACAGGCGCCGCTGGTTGGTGGTTGGTCTGGGCTGCGAGGGTTGCTGTTTTGGTTTAAAAAGAAAAATAAGTTCCAAGCAGAATAAAAGACTTCACGTGGACCGCGGATCAATAAACCCGTCCTACTAATATGGGGGTTCGAAAGGTGGGTTTGTATTTGTTGTTTTGTGGAGGATGTTTGCAGGGTGTATCTTGCCAATTTTCACCTCCCTGGGCGAAGAGCCGCATTGCTCATTGTGCCAGGAACCTTTTTGTTCGTTGGCTCAGGCAGTCGCCAAAAAGAAGAGGGGGGCATACAGACCAGTCAGAGTCCGGAGCACGCTCTGATTTGCTAGGCTTTGTCGCCGCCGCAGTTGATATCAACTTATCCGTTACCATAATACAATGTTGCAGGATTCCTTATGATACCAAATGCAAGCGGCTTCGGGCAGATTGCACTTTATTGGCAGTTGCCTACAATTGGCAATCATTTTCGCAAGAGCCTTTGCAGAGAACTCTAATCCTGACAAGTTCACGCCAATATGACGTGCTTTTGGAAAGGGAATATATTGGCTTTCACGTGTTTTCGGTTTCGCATTTGGTATCTGATTCAGCAGGGGATCTTGGACCAGTTTAGGCCTGAATAGATCGCTCGCATGTTTTGCGGAATAATGGAACTTCACAGCCAAGTACGGCCAAAGTGCTGTCAACACTGCGAGACAAGGCAGTAGATGAAGATTGTCAGTTGTTGTGGCTGTAGTAGCGGGCAGACTGCCCTTCGACCAAACATGGGCTGAGATCAGTCAGGTTGCCAACTGGCAACGACTGAAACCTAGGGAACCACTTTCCTGCCATGCCATGTGCAACTCGTTCTGATACATCAGAAGGAGAGGGACCTCTTTTGGCGGTCAGCAATTTTGGATTCATTTTGCATCATGGGCCCAAGGGGGAAGCACCATCTAAGCAGTGCTTGGGATTGCAAGTTGTGACCAGCAACAGTGGTGTCAACTGCTTAACTCATTTTCCCCAGAGCTTCCATGCATTTTAGTTTGCCAAGATCTAAGAGTCATGGTGTCAAAAACGACCCGTTTTGTGGGATGCTGTCAAAGGAACACCTACAGGTTGCACCGTTTCATCGATTTCACGGCTCGTTTTCCGAGCTGATTCCGCTCCCAAAGCTGGCAGCCAATTTCTTGTGTGCTACACCTAAAACAGGAGTGTGTCGCTTGTTTGTGCATTGTTTAGGCAACAGTCTAAAAGACCAGGCTTCTCAATGCATCTGGCAGACGTGGCCTGACCCCCCCCCCACCCCCAGACCCACCCGCAGGGGAGCAGTGCCAAGTCACGGCCATGGCGGCAGAGAAGCCCGCGAACCTCACTGCGAGCAGCGAGGGAAGCCCGGATCGCGCCCAAAACCGAGGCCCATTTTAGATTGGCCGAACTTGGCATTCCCAGCGCCCAACACCTGCTCGGTTTACTGGAGGTTATAGGCTATAGTACGGACTACAAATATCTACCATGTTGGGGCCAAAAGTCAATGGGTTTTGGGCGCTGCTTGTCAGATACCGGATCCTTGGTCAGCATCTTGATTCGTATTTTGATTTGTATCTTGCTTCACGCTCCCAGAAGTGACGTGGGTGTTCGTTTGATTGAGGATGCCGCATTTGAGGTGGTTTTCAAGGGAAACCAAAGGACTAGCGCCATTTTGGGGATGCCCTATCATGACACATGTCTAAATATTTGTTTTTGGCTTCTACTTGGAGTTTGTTCAACCGTCAAACATGTGGATGGTGCTGAAATGTGCTCAAGGTTAGTGGACAGCCCCAACTGCAAGAAGATGCTGGTAGACGCACTATGACTCAGAAAGTTGTGTTTTGAGACGAAGCAACGGACCTTTTGACCCATTCTCGCCAGAGCTGGCGAGCATTTGGAGAAGTATTGCTCATAGAGCCTTGTTCTTCATTTTGAAGCTCCATTAAGGTGTATGAAATTTGTTGACGCCTTCCAGAAAAGCTACATTTGCCTAAATGCGTAGAGGAACGCGGGAAAGCATCAGTTTACGGCATTCCTGAGCTGTGTGGTTGCATTTGGTTGGCCGAGTTCCAACATTTGGGATATTCAGGGATTCCATCAAACCTTACAGGGTTCCTTATTATTTCCCCTTTTAGTGGTTTGGAACATCACACACACAATCACACACACACACACACAATCTGGGCACCCTCAGGTCAAAGCCCTTTGTTGTAGCCGGCACCTCGGGCGCTGTAGCCATTTTGGCTCAAGCAGCTACTGGATCAAGATCTAGAGCAGTTTCAAGTTTGATAGCTTCCGAGACATGACAGACAAGACCGGCCCCTCGGAAATCCGGGCTTCAGATGGCGAGAAGCTCTTGGAGATCTCCCACAAGATTCTCGACGCCAATTTCGACGTTTCCCAGAAGGTGAGGAAAGCGTATCACGAACGGGGGTTGCAGTTCAACCCGCAGGACATGTCGGCGGCGAATAAGGAAAACTTTGTCTTGCTCGTGCAGCTCCGGCAGAAGATTAACGCCGACAGCTTGACGCGCGTGAAGCGCATGTTGAAGAAAAACAAGCAGCATACCTTGGAGGACTTGGAGGAGAAGGACATGAAGTTCTTCAGGGAGATCAAGGGCATTGACGAAGAGGGCAACGCAACCGGTGAGGAGAAAGCGCCGGTGGACATGCCCGAGGAGACCGAGAGGAAGAAGGTCGCCAAGAGCAAGAAGTCTCCAAAGAAGTCCAAGAACAGGCTGGAGAACGAGAATTCGGGAGAGAAGAGGAAGATCGAGGAGGTAGACCCGGACGCCGACACGGAGCCCTCGTCCTTCGACATCGCGATAGACGAAGGCTACTACGAGGAGCTTAAGAAGAGGCAGCAGCAGCGGGAGGAGGAGGAGAAGACGGCCAAGGACGGGAAGAAGAAGAAGAACAATGGGAGCAAGAAGCAGACGACAGCAAGAAAAAGACGCGGAAGACGACGTCTTCTGAAGAGACGGCGGAGGCCAACGCCACTTTGGAAGCCAACACCATCACGGCAGAGACCCCGGATGTGCAACCGTTTTTCTTGCTGTCCGCAGGCGAAACCAGGCGCACCTATGCCATCAAAATAAAATCATTGATCGACCAGACAAAGTTGAGTATGTCGGCTTCAAAATCTCGGCTGCCTTGTCTGCCATTTCCAGACATCCGAGGGCCGCTTCATCAAGGCTGCCACCAGCAACCTCAACCAGAACGATCGGATTAGGGTGCAAACCTTCCTAGAAGCGTTGAAGGGCCAGTCTATGTCGAGTATAACCACATTGCCTCTTCGTTCCCGCACGTGGCAGTGAATACATTGTTGGAGCTCACGGTGACTGACTTTCTCAAGCACAAGAAGGTGGAGCTGGGTGACACCAAGGAGAGGATCATCCCCATCGAGCAGCCGTGGCTGTACGCGATGTTCACCACTTTGAGGGTCTCGGCTCAGCTTTCCCTCCCGCTCGCCTTGAAGCTAGAAGCAGTTTCCGTCCTTGTCATCCACCATGCCAAGGTGGTGACGTTGAAGAACCGCAAGAAGGGGAGCAATCCGGAAGTGCTTGCCGAAATCAACTATATCGTAACGAGCACGAAAGATGAGTATTCGCTCTCCGGCGGCCTCAAGAAGAAGAACTCTCTCACCACCTGGTTGGGAGGGGCCTCTTACCACGCGGACTCGTGCCGGTAGAGGGCTTCCTCACGCACTCCGAGTTGCCGGTCACTATCCCGAAGGTGTTCTTGACGTCCCTCATGAACAACGAGCAGAGCACCCACGAGAGGGTCCACAACATCTTGCACACCCACAAGATTAGGGAGTCTTTTTCGGCATCGCCACCCAGAACTTGCGCAATGCGGTCGTGAAGTGCTTCCCGAACAAGCGCCTCGCCGACAAGACTTTGAACCCGGGGTTGGAACTCTTCCACTGTATGAAGTGATGAGCAATATCGCTTCTCAATGCGCAGCTGAGCAACATGAAAGTGGTGCGGTCACGCCCGGTGAACAAAATGTTCAAGATCTCGCTAATTGTCCTAAAGAAACTTGGCATAAATTTGAGATACCACCCTTTACTGAGGAATGTAAAGAAGAAGCCCATTGGGGGGTTACCTTCATGATGAGACTCCATGCTGGGTTTCCATGCTGAGATGGAACATACAAGACAATACAGAGAGTGACCCTGGAGTATCTTGGATTGAACTTTTCATCAGTTTCCAGCTTGGCACAAACTCGGACATGCCTGCTAATGTTGGCACCAATACTAACCACAGATTTGCGCTGCCTGAGCAATGCCCGGCAGAAATGCTTATCCAGCTGAATACCCACCGCAGAATGCAATACTTTGATAGTAGCCTCAAGGCGCTTAGCAAAATCTTGAGAAGTGATATCTTCCCTTGTAAACCGTGCAAGAAGCGTGCTAGCTTGCCCTAACTGGGATACTTTCAGAGCCGACCCGGATTACCCCGAAAACCGTGGTTTCCATACCACGAAGAAATCGTCCACTTGCTTAGGCAGAGGGCAGATAGCCCGGCAACCGTAGGGTCCATCCCTGATCTGTTTTCACGTCCTCATGTTATTGAGATACCATGGCATGAGGACGATCTTCGCGAGTCACAGGCCACGCGGCGCGCACAGATGACATGGACAGAGGCTACCTTCAAGGACGCGGTGGCTTGGAACATCACCTGATTGGCCAATCATTGTGCCTTTCTGCTTGATGGGGTAATGCTCAAAATAGAAACATGGGGAGCCCTGCAAAAAGCATCAGTCGTGAGTTGCTTGAGGTTTGGGTGCCTACGCGGTGGAGGTGGAGTGGGCGGCACAGCACCCCTGGGCCCGGGGCTGAGCCCATTCTGCCAAGTTGTGAGTGGGGGGGGTGGTCCCTTTTTGAGGATACCCCCCCGCCAACATCGAACCCTGAGAAATTGTGCCATTTAGAGAAAATTTGCGCAAACCAGGACACCAGTCAGGTTCCATCTTAGTGGATGAAACGTGCAGGAATCATTGCAGTGGTCAGGGAGCCGTTTTGAGATGATGTTCCAACACCCTGTGCATTTCCATGCTGGTTGGAACAGGTGCCAATTTATCGGGTTGTGCAAAAGGAAACCAACCAAGAAACGCCTTCTCTCGGCTTCCCCTGTTGACAGCCCAAGTTGTTGGCAGCAATCTCTGCTTCCAGCAGCACTCTACTAGCTCAATGTTAGACCCATGTAGCAGCATGCTGTTGAAACTCCGATTTGAGTGCCACCTTCTGTGATACCAAGGGAATTCCCTTGAAGAAAAGAAAGCCAGTCATGATGAAGGGCCAAGTTGGTATCACAGAAGCGTGCTTGCCACGGGCTGCAACCATGCATGGTTGTGTGAGACATGTTCACTCATTCCAGACGCCCTTCTTTTCTAATATCTGTGGCTAGGCTCGTGGGTGACCTTCTCCGTTGACGTTGTTTGTGGCCATGTGAAGATTGTTTTGGGTGATTCCTACAGGGCACCTTTGCAGATGGTTCAGTTTGGTGACCTGTTCATTTGTTTCACTTCGCAGCATTTTGGGCCCGTTTCCGACTCGGCCCAGTATTTCGACCGTTCCTAGATGCCAAGAGAGTTGAAGTCAACCTACCACTTGGTAGGCGACTCTGAGAAGTGTCAACCATCCAGGGAACCCTTTTTGTTCGCTTCACATGTTTGGTTTGTTTGGTTATGTTGGTTTCAGCCCCCCTCCCCCCACCAACCAAGAAACAACATGGTTCCTTCAAACAACGCCAGCTTGGTTCCCCAGCTGTTCCCTCGTGAGGCCTGCACCTTCCTCTCCTGGCAGGTGGGGGTTTGATCGTGGGACCCGTAGCTTCAAGTTCCACGGCCATGACTCAAGGCCTGGTTTTTTTGACCTCGAAAAATGAACAACACGCGTTCACCTGCAGAAAGCACACACACACACATCTGATGAGGATGTTTTACCAGGGGTTTCGATTGGTTTCACAGATTCCATGCCAAGAGAATCCACAATGCTACAAAGGTGAGTGACTGCAGGTCAAAATTCGGGATTGTCAGGAGGGACAGTCAAAGGAACTCTTATGAAGCGTGTCTTTCGAGTTGCTGCTACAGATTTTGGAAACCATGAAAGCCAGTGGTTTGATAAGGCATCAGAATCACTGGGCTGAGTAAGATCACGCTTGCTTAACATTCCCAACTGTTTTTTCTTATCACCCGCTGCAAATTATGGGCCATTGCACTGAGCCAATATACACTTCCTTGCTTTTTGGTCCACTTCTTGGATTGATTGTCGGGTGTTTGAAGCAACGGCCGAAGGGAACTCCTTCACTACCAACATATCCGACCAATCGAGAAATGGCCGTGGGTCAAAATATGTACAGTACCCAAAATGGAACCCTGGTAAATGGAAACTTGGACTGCAACCTGCGGTTTATGGTGGCTTCATTTTGACCCACAAGTGAGTCAAAAGTCATCTGCCCGCAGACCTGCCTCAGCCAAATCCTTGGACTCGCATCGTCTCGCCGTTTAAAACGCCTCGCCGAAAACGGGCGCCAGGTGCAGCTCAAGTCACAGGCGGAGGACAACTGGGACCTCGCGGGCCTCGGCTTGGGCCTCGTTTGAGCCAGAACCAATGGACCAACACCCCGGGGAAGTGAAGGTTGGTCTCACTTCCTGTTCCTGGACTTGGAACTTTGTGGGAAGACATGGAAGACCATGTTGGTGGTAAACAAAAGTTTGGAGAGTTTTGGGTCCAGCTACTCAGGAAGTGAAGGTTAATTAGGGACAGTCACCAGAATTTGGTGCTGCCACCTTAGTTCTTTACATTGGTTTAGGGTAGACCATTGTAAGACCAGGTTTTGATCACGACCCAAATCAACAGCTAGCTACCCAAAAGTGGAGCCCAGGGGCCCTGCTCTTTACTATCGGCTGGCTTGCCAATCTTGATACTGGTTCGGGTACGTGCGGATGTTTTAGAGGGGCCTTGGCTAAACGTTAGATGGAAATCCCAAATCCAGAAACTTGGCTTGCGCTGTTGTGTGGTTATCAAGCCAAAAAGAAACCAGCTACCTGGACAGGGCCCCATTGCTTGAGGCATCCCCGGATCCGTAAGGGCAAGGCCTGGCAATTTGGTCGAGTCTCGGAACGACTTGAGGAGGCTAGATTTGTTTGGTTGTATGCTTGTTCCGTATCATTGGTTTGTTGGGTTTGTTGACTTGTTTCTTAGCTTTCTTGCTTGTTTGCTTGTTTGCTTGCTTGCTTGCTTGCTTGCTTGCTTGCTGGTTTGGTTGGTTGGTTGGTTGATCGGTTGGCCAGTCGCTCGCTCGGTTGGTTATTCAGTTGTATGTTTTGCTTGCTTGCTTTTTAGTTTTTGGCTTTTCGGTTGGTTAGCCGGCTGGCTGGCTGGCTGGCTGGCTGGCTGGCTGGCTGGCTGGCTGGCTGGCTGGCTGGCTGGTTGGTTGGTTGGTTGGTTGGTTGGTTGGTTGTTTGGTTCGGTTTCACCTATGCTTTCCTTGTCTCCACGTTTCCTTGCCTGTTCTTAGTGCGGAGTATAGCAATGTGCCCATACTAGAATCGATCCACCCACTATGATGAAGTGACTGCAAAAACCCGAGGGGAGTTTCGAAAGCCCGTTTCTGGGGCTGCCGGGCCGCTGAGGCTGCTGGAGCTATGAGAGGGAGGTGACCAACTGCACGGCGCTGGTCCCTGGGATGAGCAACACTCCCTTCGATGTGCGAGTGCAGGGCCCCCCAATCCGCCTCGGCTGGGGTGAGCAGGCAGAGCTTTGCTGCTCTGGCCCAGTTGGCTCGAAATCGGAACCCTTCTTTTGGATGATTGTAGAGGGAAGACAGAAGGATACCAAGCTGTTTGGGGGACCAAATGTTCAGAAAACATGGGTGTGTGTGCTGTGAGGTGTCTGAAAAGGACGTAAGTGTACCTGACCAGCTTACCATGCACGCCCACGAATCCAGTAGTTGTTTTTCTTACTATAGTGCTGCCTTCGTTTGGGAGAGGGCTTGAGCTGTCATGTCCCTGGGCGTTTGAGTGTCACGGCCGTGCAGATGGAGGCAATGGAGCAGCTTGCTTTCTGGGAGAGGAGGAGTACCAGAGGGCCCTGCGGGAGTCACTGACCGTGTCCAGTCACAGCAAGCGGATCCCTTGGCCTCGCATGGAGCTGGGCGGTGGCCGCAAGGTCAACTTGGACAATGTCTCAGAGCACCCCTGCCTCAAGAAAAGGCCAGCTGGTCGTTCTTCAAAGCGGCATTTCTTGCACAGAGATTGAGGCAGATGTGCCTTGAATGGGCTTTGATTCGCACAATCAACTTGCTCAAGTGTGCATCAAACCTTTCAGATATTCTGAATCCGAGGAGTTGATGCCGTCATCATTTGTGCAACAACAGCCTGAGCTTTTGCCAGTTAACGCAGCAGCTCAGTGTTTTTAGTGCCTGTCAAACACCTTGGATATGTTTGCAAGTATTGAACCCTGCCAGGTGGATGAACTGAGTATAAGTGTTGCTGCTTTCACGGTCCACCCGCTTCAGATGACGACAGTGTGTCCGTGTGCGTGTGTGTGGCATCCTAGCCCAAATTGGTTGAATCCATTTCGGCAATGCCACTTTGATGCCTACGATGAGTACCAACCTATCGTCCGTTTGCCCCAGAACATTCAGGGAGCCTCCCGCTCAGCGACATGTGTAAGTCAGCTTGAAATGATCGTGACAGTACGTTGACTAGCTCGCGTCGATCCCTTCGGGAGTTCGGCATGTTTGGTTTGTAGACCTCCTGGAGATCATCTTGGCTGTGTCTGAGGGCTCAACGCGGGGCAGCAACGCCCTCCTCCGTTGTTTTTCTGGAGACCCCACTTACTTGCCTCCATGTCCTTTGAACCTGCGGTTACATGGTGTCGGAGCACGCCGGACGCATCCACCACGCGTTTTGGGATGGGCGGGGCTGCGGTTCCGCCGCCTGAGGCGGGAGACGTGTCAGGAGTCCGCGCTGCACTCGGAGTGGCTGGCCTTGGCTTTCCCTGGGGCCGTGGCCCCAGACGGAAAACCGGGTCGAGGGGTGCTGTGGTGGAGGTGCCTTGTTTTGGCGGGCACAGACAATTGGCAGTTTTTCTCTTGGTGTCCCTTTAAAACCAAGGAGGTATTCCGCTCAGATTATGAGGTGTCGATTAGCTTGCTCACATGGGTTTGTTTCAACATTGGAGAACCCTCCCCCGAACAATTGGTGTTGTCCTTGGGTTTCCCTTTCATACAACCACCCAAAAAGGGTGGTGTCCCCTCCAAAGGAGCATCCCCCCCCTCTCCCCCCACACAAAAAAAGTAATCCAGGGGTTTCCTTTTGGATTCAGCGTTCAATGAAGGCCTTTGGACTTCCCCTTCGGATTCTGCCATCTCCTTCCCCGTCAGGTGAGCACGCCCATGCCGCAAACCGCGGCGGCGCCGACGCTGCAGGTGACCACAGCCGGGCGCCGAGGGAATTTCACCCGGGGGTCCAAGGGATTGGCGAGCGAGCGACAGATAGCCTAGGTCCCCCAGTAGTGCCCTTTTACGTTTTTTTAGGGGAGGGCTCCCCTGCTAAAATAGACTACAGAAAAAAGGGCACCCTTATTCTAACCTCTCTACTGGAGGACCTAGAAGCTGTATGTCCCTGGGGGGATCACCCTTTTGGTTGGTTTCAAAGGGAAGACGAAAGGGAAATATACCTGGTTAGGGGTCTATTTTGAAATGTATGTGATCCTTCATGTCATTTCTTTATTTCAGGTTTTGGGATTTATTGCAGAATTGGCAGGGATGATTCCAGCGGTTCGCATCCAGGGAACATCTTCCTTGGTTCACCGTACTAATAAGAAGACAAATTGTTCAAGCATCCCAACCCAAGAAGACAAGCATTGTGGGTTGCACTACAACCCAAGAAGACAAGCATTGTGGGTTGCACTAAACAAATACAACAGCAATGCATGATGTTAATTTATTCTTTGTTTTCGTTTCATTTTGTTTGTTATGAACAGTCATACAAAAGCGCTAGGTTTTTGTTTTATATACACTGGCTTTTGCAGCCCCCCACAAATATCCCGGGTGGACTCACAGCGTCAGCCGAGGCTTCGTCCTTCGAAGTGCAGCTTACTTGGACCACTGGGGATGCGGGCGAATGCGTCTTCAGGCCGGGGCTCCAACACAAGAGACCTGAGAAAAAGGTCCGTTCAACGTCCAAAGGAGGCGTGGCCCGGTTTCCTTGAGCTCCATGCTTGTGTTTTCTGTCTGGAAGAATTGCCTGTAGATGTGAACCACTGGTGCCGGAGATAAAGGAACCACAGTCTCAGGATTTACGCTTGCGCTCTTATTCTCGGTGCGTGGGCACCGACGTTTTTTCAGGGAATGTTCAGGATAAGTGGCTGGAAGCCCACAAGAAATGGCCGAAGCAGAGAACCTTTTGAGGCCAGCGGCAAAGCAGGCCATCTAACTTGTGGAGGATCCAGACTGTCAGGAGGTGTGAACCAGGCCACTACAGCAACCCATTCACCCAGGTGACTCCGTTCTGCTCTGTTTTTACTGGCCCCCCCTTGTTCTGGCCCTCCGGTTGGCTCTCCGCACGCGCAACAGAGAAGCAATACTATTGAGAAACTTGGCAAACTTTCCCAGCTTTGCGACCCACGTCGCTGCGGCTTCCTGGCAGCGCGTTAGGTTTAATTCCACCAAGCCAGATTGTTGTTCGATAAGGGAGTGCGCTGCTATCAAACAGACAGGGTGGTTTTAGTGACATTTTCCTTGGCAGAAGCACAGGGTGAACAAAGCACGCGCGGTTGGGCTTTGTTTAGGCAATTATGTCACTCATGGTGCATCTAGACCATTCAATTAAGCGAGCCGCGCAATTGCAAGCTTAGTGCTGCTCTTTACCGCGCTTGCAGGTCGCCAGCCAGGCATCACAGATGGAAGCTCCTACCCATGTAAATTGCGTCCAATATTATGGCCGAACTGCTGCTTGCCTGCGACATGCAATGACACTCATTCAGACGCAAGGTTTTGAGGTTTCCACCGGATGGCTGGAGCGGTCCCGGTGGTATGTGAACCCGCCCAAGTTGGGTGGTGCAACCAGGTCTTATGCTGTCCGGGCAACTAACCATTTCCCAATACCACCGCCTCAATGACACTCATTCAAACACACGTAATTACTGCGAATGGACAGAATATTGCACCACTTTGGAACCATGGGACACAAACTTTTTGTTGGTGCTTGCAGGACTCATTCCAGGGTTTCTTATGTGGTGCGAAGCACATTTCGCCCATCCACAGTGTATACACCGCCAGAGCAAATGAAGTCTTGGACCTTAGAGAACACAACCCTTCCCCCAGAACCCTGCAAGCTGTTGCTGTGTCATTTGCAGGGTTGAATTGCCACACTCCAAAGCCTTTGACGTATTTCAGTTTCAACCACAGGTGAGAATTGACCATCCTTCTCCTTACGCCACGGAGTTGGACATTCGATCCTCGAGTGACGCACAGGGCTTTGCAGAAACAAGTAGGCATAAACTTATTGTCCTCCTGAAGGCGCAGCCGGATGCTTCGGAGGCAACCGTTCCGGTTGTTATCCGGGCCTGACTTACATGGTCTGTTCTACGCTTAACTTTTGAGTGCTCAGGCGGAGTCACCCGTGTAAGGCGACCTGTCACCCAAAAGCTCTCCTGCAATGCAGTATGCATATCTGTATGACCTATGTTAAGTAACTACACACACACACTATATATTGCATGGTAAGCCTTCCGGAGTATTCGGTCGTTCAAGAACTTGGGTCGTTCAAGAACTTGGGTCCGGGGCGCTCCAACCTTTGCCGTCAGCTCCTGGGAAGTGCAGCTGGTGGACGTGGATGGCCTCGCAGAGGCATCTCTCTCGCGAGCGATTCCGTATTGGTCGAAGTGTCGTTTGTGACTTGAAGTATGGGTGCTTGTTCAGGGCTGAGGATGGTACTAGCTGTGCATGCTTGTTTATAAGGCACTGAATTTGCGGAGCACACCTTTGGTCGTAGCACAATTACATTGGAATGCACCTGCGAGGCTTAGTTTGGCCTTAGGACGATGTGTTGAGCGTGGAACTGGCACATGCCAGCTACATACTGTTCACGAGATGCTGGTCGGCATTGAATGGATGGTTTGCATTGTGTTTGCAACAGTGGTGCTGCACTGGAGAGCTCCAAAGCAACGTTCGTGGTGCCTGAAGAGGAGTCAGCATGGTTTGAGTCCAGTACAGCTGCATCGAGCCTGCCAGAGGTCCTTTCAAGAACGCCCCTTTCATAGGGTGCTCGTCAGCCCCTCACTTAGGGGGCCATGAATGGGAAAGTAGTTTCTTGTGCCCACGTCTGAGACTATGAAAAGGGGCACTTATTTGTATGATGTCAAGCAGCAAGCAGGGCTTGCGCAGCCTAGTGACGCGATTCCTTTGAACTAGAGAAACGGTTTGGTTGCATTCAGCTTTCACTGCCCTCCCTAACGCAAGCCTGTGTGTCACCATGCCAGAGGTTCCATGTCTTGGGCATGGCTGCATGCCCCCTAACTCTTGTTCCAGAGTTTGCGGAGTTCCAGACTTTGCGGAGCTTCCCTGGACCCACAGATGCAAGGATTACCGCTCCGCTGGGTCGCAGAACGAACCTTAGCCGTCAGATTTCACTTTTTGCCAGGGTCAAAGAGACCTTCCTTCTTGGGGTTCTCGGGATGGGTTCCTATGGGTTCCTGCTTCAAATTTGTTGCACACAGTCTCGATGTCTTTGTTTGGCGTTCAATGGCAAACACCGGAGGCAACATGTGTTACATGCGAGCACTCATAGTGTCATTTAACCAACAGGAACGCTGAACACCACCATTAATGAGGTGCCACTATTCAAACACATACCCATGTGGGTTTCAACAAGGCCAGCTGTGACCAAACAGATCCCCGCATTTGCGCGGTCCCTGGCAGGCAATCAGCTGTGCCGCCACCGGCTGCCTTGTCTCCTTGCGCCAGCTCGGGGGCCAAACCAAGAAGGTCGACGTTTCTGTTGAGTTGAATTTATGTTTGCTCACCTGTTGATATGCAAAACGCCCTATGAATGAATCAGGGGATAAAACACCTACTAGCTGGTGCAGGGTGATGTCGATCCACGGTATCATTTATAAACAAAGTTGCTTTGCTGACCTTCTCTGAGCGAAGCACCTGAGTGAGTGTCCCTTGACCCTTCGGAGCGTCTTCTGATCATCAGAAGCCGCGGACTATGACACTTTGAAGACGACGGCTGTATTTGAGAATTTCCGCCGAGGGATCGCAACCGCCATCCAGCCGCTACTTTCGCTGCTTTCCCAGGAAGCAGGTTTTGCCTTTCCCCTTCTCCACTTCTCCCTTGAAATGCTACTTTCGGACGCCTACGGTCACTGTTAGAAGCCATCCGTCAGGCCTGTTTCAAACCATCTGGGCGATGTTTTTGACCTGACCTATACCCGGGATTTGCGACCCTAGTGATGAAGGTTCCCAGCTCGCGGAATCCTTCTTGCGGATGAAAGCTCGGATGCTGTACCGCGTGAGGCTTGGCCTCATCGAGACGGGGGATGGCTCTTCTGCAGGCAGGAGCAATTGGAAGATAGGGTAGGATGCGCCTGTTCGGTGCATGTCTTGTTTACAGAGTAGCTACATGGGGATGAACCTTGGAGAGTGGCTGCTAGTCAAAGATGTTGTGTGACACGATCAATCATCACCTAGGTTCAACAAAAAGCATTTGCAGACACTGTTTGTCAGCCCAGGCAGCAACTGCGAAATCAGTTTTCTCGGCTTCCGTCCAAGCGCACAGATATTTCTGGCCTGGGCTCTTCCATCGATACAAAGAAGTGGAGCCTCCCAGACTCTCGGCTTCCCCGAAGGGAGTGTTGCGCCCACCAAGTGTGCGTGCGAGCTGGATTGCAAAGCCAGGCCACGGGTGAAGATGTCCCCCTTTGAGAACATGGCCACTGAAAGCGTCGCTTAGAACTGCAACGGGCGGTTTGGCCCAACTGCAAAAAAGCGGCAGGGCAGTGTTGCACTGGCCCATTGGCCCGGTCATTTGGCAACAGGATACCATGGGCTTTTCTTAGACCTCACTCAGTCATGTGACATGTGATTGTGTGTTTCCACACAAGGCGCCCGTCCAATGGGTGGTGATTTCCTGGCCTTGTGACACATGAATGCCTGACATGATTACAACTAGAAATCGGTGGAGGAGCATTGAACACTCATGATCCCCCGTTTGAGAAACCGATAGGGGTCCATCAAAACTGATACTATTGCAACACTGTATGTTACTCAAATATCAAATAGTGCTGACGCACATGTAGACGCGCATGTCCAAGTCCAAGAGTGTTTAGTCTTGCCAGGATTCCTCCTTCTCAGAGAATGGCCCGTGATCCAATCACTTCTGATAAAATGATGGGGCTGTTGCTGTCCCTCCCTTTAGCAATTTCAATTATGACTTGCAAGTTCAATTGTGTTTCCTTGTTATTTGTGTGTGACATGTTCAGCCATGTTGTGGATTCTACCTCTTCCCTTTGCTTGGTCCGTGTTGCTGGGTCCACAAGGAGCATCCACTCCATCAGATTTGAGGGGGTCCTTTGGCAATGGATGTGCTCATCGCAGGCAGCTACCATGTTCGTGTGCGTGCGGCCTGCAGCGACGGCAACGCCAACAGCCCCTGGGCACAGCAGGACGTACGGGATAGACGGAGGAAACCAGCATGTTCCGGTTCCGAATCTCGCAGCGGTTTTGTTAGTTCGTGCTACATGTTTTGGTCTTACTTGTTCAGGGAAATAAATTCAGAAAGGCTTGCGCTTATCCAGATCGAAGACATGTCTATTGTTTTGTGCGTGTTACAAACCTTCTGGTGGCCAAACTCCGATCAGCAAGGACTAGACGTTCAGGTTTGGAGAGGGAAGGACCGAATCGCCGTTCGGCGTGAGGACTCAGCCATTGTTGTGAGCAGCGGCGGAGTCAGAGGCTTAGGAAACTTTGCAGTGTGATATAGATTGTTTCTTTGGGGGTACCGCTTTGGGGTAGTTGGGGGGGCCTCTGTTTTGAGACAGGCGGACACCCTGGGTGCATACTGCTCGGCTAGAGTTCCCATGTTGAGGAACCTGGACTCTCTGATGTCTGATGTGCATAGCCTCAACAGCTAGCAGTACAAAAGGTTGAGCACGTAATCTAATTTGAACCCCCCCTTTCGGTTCGCACCCATACCGAGATTCAGATGTCAGTGCATGGAAAGATGAGCTCAGTCAAGAAACCAACTGTGAGCCGGCTACTCAAATTGCATTTGCAAGCTTGAGGTGGCCGGACAAGCCGTTTTGAGTTGCAGGAGCAACGCATAAAAGTTGCACTGTCTCGCACGTGATGAAGGTTTTGTTTTTGTGTGTATGATCCTTCCTGATTGTAAGTTGGGGAACTTGCGTTCGGGGAAGCGTTCTGGGCAAAATATTCTAAGACCCTGCGGTAACGCAATCAAGATCTACATGAGATCAATTCTATTTGCGGATCTGAGCAATGCCACGCAAGTTATCACATGCTGCACCCGGACGAACCAACCAACCAACCAACCAACCAACCGGCCAACCAACCAACCAACCAACCAAGCAACCAACCAACCAACCAAGCAACCAACCAAGCAAGCAAGCAAGCAAGCAAGCAACCAAGCAACCAACCAACCAACCAACCAACCAACCAACCAACCAACCAACCGACCGACCAACCAACCAACCAACCAACCAACCAACCCACCACCCGAAAAACCAACCAACCAACCAACCAACCGACCAACCAACCCACCAACCAACCGACCAACCAACCAACCAACCGACCAAGCAACCAACCAACCGACCGACCGACCAACCAACCAACAAATCAACCCACCAACCAACCAACCTACCGACCAACCAACCAACCTACCGACCAACCAACCCACCAACCGACCGACCAACCAACCCACCAACCAACCGACCAACCAACCAACCGACCAAGCAACCAACCAACCAACTGACCGACCAACCAACCAACCACCCGATCAACCGACCGACCGACCAACCAACCAACCCACCGACCAACCAACCAACCCACCAACAAACCAACCGACCGACCGACCAACCAACCCACCAACCAACCGACCAACCAACCAACCAACCGACCAAGCAACCAACCAACCAACTGACCGACCAACCAACCAACCACCCGACCAACCGACCAACCAACCGACCAACCAACCAACCGACCAACCAACCAACCGACCAACCAACCGACCGACCAACCAACCAACCAACCGACCAAGCAACCAACCAACCAACTGACCGACCAACCAACCAACCACCCGACCAACCAACCGACCGACCGACCAACCAACCAGCCCACCAACCAACCGACCGACCAACCAACCCACCAACCAACCGACCAACCAACCAACCAACCGACCAAGCAACCAACCAACCAACTGATCGACCAACCAACCAACCACCCGACCAACCGACCGACCGACCGACCAACCAATCGACCAACCGACCAACCAACCAACCGACCAACCAACCAACCAACCGACCAAGCAACCAACCAACCAACTGACCGACCAATCAACCAACCACCCGACCAACCGGCCGACCGACCAACCAACCAACCCACCGACCAACCAACCAACCCACCAACAAACCAACCGACCGACCGACCGACCAACCAACCTACCAACAAACCGACCAACCAACCGACCAAGCAATCAACCACCGACCAACCAACCAACCGACCCACCAACCAGCCAACCCACCAACCAACCGAGTCTTCACGATGTTTTGTGTCAATGCCGGCCGCCGCTGCCGGATTCCGAGGCGCCGGTCAGCGGTGTTACGGTGCAGGGCGTGGGGAAGTCCTGGCTGCTGCTGAACTGGGCCGGCGGAATCGGCGTAGAGCGCGCCGTTCGACGCTTTCCACTTTCAGCTGACTGGTCCCAGAGATATGGCCCTCCCATAGGAACGATAGGAAAGACTCAAAAATTCGGAAACGGGACCTCTAACTTACGGTTGATGTGGCTGTCGGTCAAAACCAATGGTGCACCACCCATTGTCTATTTTTCTTGGGATTGGGATGTTCACTAGTGGTACGGGATTTTGACCCATGACCATATATTTGGCCTGTTACTTGAATCTGGGTTGGGGTTTGTCAAAGGGGGGAAGGGCAAAAATGGTGGTGTTTCTTTTGGTATTCCTTTTTGTTGCCCTTTCAACCAAGGTCGATGTAGCATGGGTACCCTCAAACAAATCCACACACACACACGCACCCGTTTGGAGCCCAGGTCTTGAGGTGCGTCCTGTGGACAAAATGTCTACGTGACTTGAGTCAAACGGAAATCAGGGCCGTTTTAGTTTAGCAAGCCCACCATTGTCGCGCCTTTGACCCCCCATGGTTTCCAGTAATCAGATCTTGGTTTTCTAGGACGGGTGGCCTCACCCAAAAGGAGTCTGAAAAAGGGAACTCTCCGGATTCCTTGCGGCTACCATCTGAGAAAGTCCCGCAGTTGCTTTCATGACTTTTGGGAGGTTTGGGCGTCCTTTGCAACCAGCGCGTTCCGCAATATGAATGCGTTGTGCGGAAGCAGCCATTCGGATAGGCTTGAATGGGCGTTCACTTGGTAGGGCTTCAGGGCTGGGAGGTAGTGCAAAACATTGGTTAAAATCGGATATCTAAATCGGTTGGCTGTCCGGATGTTTGAATGGCGACGCCGCAAATGGTACGGAACAACTGCGACAATCAATGCACCCAGGCAAGCGGAATCAGCGAGCGGCTCCGGGATATACGGGCTGGAAATAAACCCCATTATCGTTGTTTGTGCGTTGGTGATCTTTCGGCGTTGTTTTTGCCTAGAGTAAGATAGATATTATGATGGATCAGCCCAGTTGCTTTGTGTAGAATATCAAAGCACCTTGTTTCGGGTCCAAGTAGCCAACCAGGACACGCTGAGTTGAGGGATGGCGATGTACGATGTCAACTCAAGGTCATTGGCCATGGTGCCCAGCCTGATGTGGGCGATTCCTGGTTGATCCTGATTTGGGGCGAAGAAGGGGTCCACGTGTCGAGGTTTGCCCATGTGGATAGTTAAAACTGGTCTGAAACTCCACCTCGATCGAAGGAACAGATCTGATGCATGATTTGGAGGATGGTGTTTTTCCTGTCCAAGTCTCTTGTCTAATTATGGTTCTTGTCACCAACTAAGCAAGCAAGTAACCAAGCCACCCCTCAACTCACCAACATCCCACCCCACCACCCCACCAACCAAGCAACCAACCAAACAACTAACCAATAAAGCAAGCAAATGACCAAGCAAGCAAGCAAGCAAGCAATCAACCAGCTTATCCAGGATGAGTTAACACTATTGGGGGCAAAACAGAATTAATCAACCCGCTGTGTGCACTTGGGCCAGGCTCCAGGCTTGTCTGCGGAGCAGTGTGCAGCTCCAAGCTGGAGGGTGTGGCACAGGAGGGATCGCCAGGGCTGGGGGCTTGCAACAAAACCGGATTTGTCAATGAGGGCCACTCTGATGAACAGCTCCTGCTTGACCACACATCCTGGTTGTAGCCCAGAGGAAACAAACCTGGTTATAGCGAGCAAGCACTGGGGAAATGCTACCTGTTCCTAGTGTTGCGTGTGTCTGGTAACTGCATCCAGGTTTAGCTGCGGCAAGAGGCAATCTCCTGCTTCCAGGTCCCTCGAACGTTGTGAGTCAGCACACGGGATCCCTCCAAGCAGCTCATTTGGACATGGCAATCTGGAGTTTCTTCGTGCTGTTTCTTCGCCTGTGGTTTGCAGCCAAGTCATCGCCTTCCTAGATCCCCTTCAATTTGCTTGCACAGCCCGGTGAAAGAAGATCCCTCGCGATCCAAGCCCAGTGAAAGAAGATCCCGTGCGATCCTGGTCCAGTGAAAGAAGATCCCTCGCGATTCCCAGTATGGTGACCTTGTTGGGTTGATCCCCCCAGCCCCAATCTTTCGGCCCATAGGAGCGGCACGGACTGGATCGGTGCCGACGCATGCACGTCGCTGCCCTGCAACGCGCGGGCCCAGATGGACGGGGGCGGGGGTAGAACCCCAACCCAGCAGCATGTGCGCAGAACCCTTCTGGCTGCGACTTACATGTTGCCAGTTCTTGCTGGGAGTGTAACGATTGTAATTTGTGAGGGAAAGGGGGCGGGGTTTACAAAGCTGTTCGTGGCAGGCTGCTTGTTTTGTCAGTTTCTTGGAGTGACATGACGCATGTCTTGGGGAAAATATCTGAGTGTGCCAGCCTGCGAACTCAGGCCTTTGCCTGGGAATATGTCAATTGGACACTGGGGTTCAAACATCCATGGACCAAATTTGATTGAGTTTCCCGTGGGTGAAGTCATGCCTAAAGGTGTTTTTTGGTTTGCGGGTTGTAAAGTGCTCAACTCAATGATCGTTGAACGACCCCCACCCCCCCAACACCCTACTTTCCTCAAAGAATTGAGCTCCCACCAAGCCAAATGGTTCATCATGAGGTACAAATGCTGAGGCCAGAGTTACGTGTTTGTTTCGCTAAAGAATCCAGGGCTTGTCAGTTTTGACTTTAACCATGGCTTCACAGAAAACCATGGTATGTCATGGCCATGAGTAGGCACAACCAGGAGACTCAACACTCGTGCACCAAGATCCAATGCTGTCCAGTCTGTGAGAGAGTACATTCTGTTCCATCTCTTGCACTGATCCTGCACTTTTGGCTGGAGATCATCCAGTTGCCCTTGTAGCTCTTGAACCCTGCCGGCTGACCCGGATGCACCTAGTTTTGAGCCTTCCGATATGCTCGGTGAGAGAGCAAACTTGTAGCATTCGACGTGTGTCACTTTCACCACTCTCCAACTCACATGCCTTTTTCTTCTGGCTCAAGTCTTGGCGGCAAACGGTCCTCTTCCCACGACGCAGTCTCATTGCGGTCCGCGATGAATTGGCTGCGGGGCGCGTCTGCGCCTACGACCAGCAGCTGCTTCGGCGCCGGGCGCTATGATGAAGGACTTGAAGGACAGGCTGGGGGCTTCGGTGAAAGTGGGCAACCCCGGAGCAAGGGCTTGCCTGTGGTCAGATGGCAGGAATCTTCGATGATGTGCACAACCATATTTTTAGGAGGTCAGTTGTCTTCCCAGAAAGGGCTCAAGTGGTACACCAAGCAAGCAATGTCTTTGTGGCGCTAAACAGGGTGCCCGATGCTCATTCTCCATCAAGGAAAACACGGAGGGAATGATTGTTTCGGCAATCCCTTGAATTTCCCAAACAGGGTCAGCAAAGGTCAGGTCAAAGGCATACCTTGCGGTTGCAGGTTGGGCAGGCGATCGTTGGTTTGCTGTTTGTCCATCAAATACGTTGGCAACATGCAAACTTCCGCTCCTTAGCGATTGGTGGCGCTTTTCCCCTGTCGATTTTGCAGATCAATGGGGGCTCGATTCAGCATTATTGTATCTTCAGAGATATTGTCGGGCGCACATACCGCTAATCCACTGGCTACCGCCCATCTGCCGTCTAATTGCCAAATGTCATGTACAAACAGGATTTTGCCCCGCCACCCGAGCCCTGGTTTGCCACCGTTTTGAGAGGAAGCGCCACCTGGCACCCCAAAAACACTACAGATGTATGGGCTTCACAACATGGAAGTTCTTCTTGGCTAGCTGATTGGCAGGATGAGCCTGTGTTCCGATTCCCGTACGAGCACTCCGTCAGTGTTTGTGCATGGCGGTGCGCTGAACACTAAGAACTGCGAACGGTTGAGCCCAGCACGGGTTGTGCTTTGAAGCCGGCGCAAACAGGACCCAGGTTGCAACTATCAATAACGTGCAAGGTGGGCTTCAGATTCCAGCTATTTGGGCGGTTTCGGTTGGATGACCACCCCATGTCAGAAATTGGTTCATACTCCTTAGCAAGTCCCATAAGCGGAATTTCTCCTTTAAGCCATAGGGATGCTCTCTTTTCGTGGTGCTCAAAGTGGGCGTTTGAAGCGAGCTAGGAGATCCCGAGTCGGAGGACTCGAGGCGATGGGTTCGGATTGTTGGGTCCCTGATGTCTTTTTTGGAGGGTAGCTGTTGGTGTAAGGGAAACCCAACACCAAAAGCAAATTCGGAGGGTCCCTATCCACATGCGCAACGGACTATGATACTGCCTGGAGATTCATTCTCCATGAATTTCCTCCTAGTTCTCATCTTTAACTAGCTTTTGCTTGGGATTCGGGGGTCGCCCAAAACTGTTAGAAACCATTTAGAACGCCCAACACGCCCAAAACTACCAGGAAACCAAGACGCCTGGGAAAAGGCCGGAGAATGAATCTTCAGGTAGGGTATCGTTGTCAGGTAATCATTTATCGGTTTCTGAGGGAAAGATGGTCGAAAGCAGGTAAGCCGCGCTTGGTGATTTGGATTGGTGGTTTGGGGATTTGAACCTATGGCTCTTGTAGCGGGTAAATGGAAACTACCCCGAACCTGAGAGGGAAGCTGATATATCACGTTATTATATGTCCCTGTACATGGGTGTGTCTCATGCGGGGTGGACATTTCAGCGCCGTGCAACAAAGAGTCCCCAATTGAAATGCATACCCACATGTGTGTGTGTGTGTGTGAGTGCTTTCCAGCCGCTTTCCCTTAGAGTTGGTGCCGGGCTCTCTTTCAGTCGCTTACAGGATGCGTGACACGGAATGCCGAGGTTGCAACTTCATGCAGAGCATGCAAGGGATGCAGCGACAAGGGGTGCAGTCAGTTATTGGTTGGACAGTTTACAATTTTGACCACGCTCGTTCATTTGCGACGATGTCCTCCCAGACAGCTCAATATTGTGAGTGACCTTTGAACATCACGGATGTATGCTTCAGACACGTCGGTTCATTGCTTTCCTTTCTTCCACTTTGACTTTGAAGGATGAGCCGCAAAAGGTGAAGCAATCCACCTTCTGATTCTGCAAACACCATTTGACAATAATCCCGCACCATCGACCTTTTGTCAGCTAAGCGGACCCCCTTCTCAAGCCGCCCGATGGATTGTGCAGATTTGGTTTGAAGATGTCTAATTGCCCGCATGGGCGACGCTTGTTGTTCAATATCCACCATCGCATTGCGCTTCCGGACTTTTGTCACGATTTGTGATATGTCTATGACACAGTCGGAGTCTTGGCAAGTTTCTATGACACAGTCGGAGTCTTGGCCAAGTTCTCTGCTGTTGCCAGTTCCATGTTGCTTTGTTTGTTGTTTACGTCTGCTTGTCGTGAGTGGAAACAAGCTAATGTCTGATGTGTTGGGCCCGCCCCAAGGATCGGGGAGCAAGTGAGTGGCCATGCAACATGTTGCCATGGTGGCATGTGTACGTCTCACGTGTCTTCAAGCACGCTTCGCAGAATGGTTGCCAGCAGCTCAATTGCGTTGTGTCACTTACATTTACCCGCAAAGTGACTCACATGTCGACTTGTATTTTCCTGGTTTATGGGTGATTGGTAAAAAGTCGGCCAGCACAATCTGTAGCTTCCATTTGCTTTTTTTTTTTTTTAAATCCCCTCTTGGCTTAAGGAAATGAAAGGTAGCCTTGCTTTACAACTTCCGCTGAGTCACGTTGGTTGCTCAGCTGGGCCGTGCTCGCAGGCGGCCCAGTCTCAGCTCAGCGCAGGCGACGTGGGGGTGTGGCACCGTCGCATCGTTGGGTGATGACTTGCCCTGAACAGATCCCAAGCCACTACCTAAAGTGGTTTGTTTTCCTAAGAACGGCTGGAGGTAAGATTCATTCAACCATGTTCGCTTCCAAGATCTTTGACTCATGAGCAAGTCGTTGATTATTGGTGGTATTCGTCGATTGCAGCTGCGCAATTTGCAACGCGCGCAAGTTCTGACGCGATGAGATGAACACTGCCTTGAATGCTGACGATTTGCCTGGCGCATCGCAGGCCCATGTTTGGGCACCAACGGGTTACAGCAGAGACGCCTTTGCTGCCACTCATGGACAATCCCACCACGCGGCAAGCAAGTGTCACTAGCGTACATTAGGCCTCCAGGGGGTTCCGCTACGATCCTCGTTGTGCAAAATGGAGTCAGGAACTTCAAAAGGAGAAGTCAATGTCATGTTTCAGATGTATGTTGGTATTGAATTGTGAGCATGGTTTGAATAGTAGTGTTCTTGATTGGTGTAGTATTGCTTTTGTATTGGTTTTAGGTTTTAACGTGTCCCCGAATACTACCGGAATTTCGCCGGTTTAGAATTGGCTTAGTATTGGCTTGTTCAAATTTTGTATTGCGAGATTATTCAGGGGCCGGAACATAAGCATATTGATTGACAAGGTGCATGCATGAAAAGGGGCAAACCCTGAAAATGCGCCAAGCGCGGCCTCCCAATGCTCATCACGATCGCTTGGCCTCCCTCTCAAAGCGTTCTTCGACAAAGCCCAAGGATCGCTTGTCCACGCGAGCTGTGAGATTTGCGCAGCCCAGGTAGCCCATCACTGCTAGTGTTTGCATTTTTCTGTCTGGAAGTGGTTAATGCTCGTGGCCGTCACTACACGTGCACGGAGTCAAGGACATCAACAAATCAGCACATTGAGTAGGCTGCACTGCAGAACCCGCTCATTGGGGTCAATAACCCGTACCAAACGGGAGCAAACCATGATGTGCACGTTTGGGGGGGGGGCTGAATGACCCATGTGGCTGTGGCAAAAAATGTACCAGAATGGCACTGGGGTAAATGAAACCAAAGACTAAAACCTGTATAATGCTGGCGCTTCAGTTTTGAGCCACACCCATGTGTTTTACGATCCCAAAATGAAACTATATAGTTATGCTCATTTTCCCATGCCCTCCGTATTCACACCTAGTGCCTTGTCAACAGACTAGGTCAAATCGGAGTCGCTGTTTTTGCTGAAGGAAAAATGCGAAGGGAGTCGATTTGTTCAATTTGTGTACTTTGTTGGCCTCAGCTTGATGGTCATCAAGCACATTGCTAATGATCAAGCATTGTTGAGCTTACTTGCAAGTACCATCAAGCTGTAAACGTAAGTAGGTACTGCCAAAACGACTGGTACTGCCAATATCTGGTAGCCTCGTCTTTGTGCGTAAACGTAGGTTGAATCTTACATCTCATCCTGGTGCATAATTCAACGGAGCGGGGTGGAGCTAGCTGCACTGAATGTATTGGGAAGAGGGTCTGACGACTGTCACCAACTCCAATGACTGCTGGTGTTGCCATAATATTTACCTTTGTTTCCCCTTTGCCCTTTCAGGGGTGGGTCCAAAAAGAGACACATCCAAACCCTACCATGGACAATTCAGCACATGTTCGGTGAAACGGAAATCAGCGGGGAACCTTGGCCCTCAGTTTGCGCATTTCAATAGGAACCACTGACTCGGACCAGCTCCAATGGTGCCCTCCCCAGGTGGTTTCCTTACGGTCTGTCCTTTTTCAACGGCCTTTTTTTGGGGGGGGGGTGTTAAAGGGAAGCCAAAAGGGAAACCTCCATTTTGGAGGGGTCCAACCTGTAAACACGTCGCACCGAAGAAGGTTTTTCCAGTGACCATTTCTCAGCCATCGGGCCAGGTGAACCCTGCACCTCCGTTTCAGGCGAGCGGAGTCACTTCGGCCAGTTGGATGCGTCCGGTTCACTCTGGTCACTTATGTGCGGTGGTCAGTTCAGTTTTTGCCGACATCTATTTGTTTAACCGGTGATGCGCCAGAGATGCAAACGTTCGCGGCACGAAGAATGGCCCTGAAATCCAGGTAATTGTTGCTGCTCTTTCTCATCCAACAGGCTCACCCCGGGTCTCCAAAAATGCATGAAGGAGGGCTGAATTGTTCCTTCACTGGACGAGTCCTTGGCTCAGCAATCTTTATTTTTTCCCAAATCGAAGAAATTCAGGAACCCCCCCTCCAAGAGAGTCTTGGAGAGGGTGGCTTATGTTCGCCAATGGGGCAGCCGGCCAATGTGCAACCTGTGGCTTGAAATGCCTTCGGGAGCTTTCTTGTTGTTGAGACCCCGAAGGCTCACGCAGTGCAGGTGCGAAAGCCTCCACCCCCTACCTCGACCTCTGCCGTGCCTGGGCTGTGGAGGTTTGCAGTTCCGCAAACCAAGGGTTGTCCTTGCTACCAAAGTGGGGTCCCAAAATGCGGACATGTAGGTCAAAACTTAGCTCTACTATCTTGTTGTGAGAAGCAACCACAACGGGCTCGGTAAATGTATAGGATTGTGTTTGGAGAAATACCAATATTTCTCAAAGCAGGCAAGAGGACAACCCTGACAAGGAGCTTATCAGGCTACAGTGAGGCCAGAAGGGCTGGAAATGCGCACCTGCAAGCGTTACGCTCCAAACAACCGCTCTTTTATTACATATTGTTCCTGGACAAAATGTGGCTCCCCCGCCTGCAGATAGATTGGGATGCGTACGGTGAGCGGTGTGGGCATTCCCGGCCAACCTTTCGACATGTTGATTTTTGGTTATGTAGCGGTGTCCTTTATGGTATGCCCGCAAAATTGTTATTTTGTGAGCCTGTACGTTCTTTAGGACAGTGAAGTAAACTGACGCTCATCTTTTTCATAGAAGCCGACACTCCAAGGCTCAATTGTGGAATCTATCTGCTGGAGTGCCTCTGATAGAAGTGAGCTTACGTAACCACCTTAATTCTTCAATTCCGGATCCTTTGGAGAAGTGAGGATATTGTTTGAGGAGGGAGGAAACGACTCCCGTTTTCAAAAGGCGCAAACTGTTCCTTGTCATTATGGCTGGCAACGTCTCCAGGCTTCAGAATGTTTGCCGCATTTCGACCGGAGCCAATAGGAGTGCAAGGCCAAAGGGCACAGAACTCCCAACCTGGAGGGTCACATTGCTTGTTTCCGCAAAGAGGCAATTATAATAAATCCGTTTATTGCTGGGGCTCTGCTTTGGCTTTCCAAAGGAGTTCCCCAAACAACAGGACAGGACAGGGCAAACTCCAGAAACAAGACTGGCAACAGGGTTGCTCCAAGCCAACAGAATTCGACCAAAATCCAATTGAAAATTGAAGGCGCTTGTGGTTTCCTTTGTCTTGTCTTGCGCTAGCACCAATCTTCGACTCGCTAGCACCAATCTTCGACTGATGCCCATACACCGATTTTTTTTGTTTCGGGGATGTCAAAAGAATATAGAAATCCGTGGAACATTTGGTTCTCCAAATATGCCTCCACAAGATTGGTATTTGGAGTAGGGAAAAGCGTGTGTTCGGGTACGGAAGCAACCTGAGGAGGACCTGCGCGACTGGGTGGTTTTGTCTATCGACTGTTTCCAGGAGGCGGTGCAGGCATCGGTGGGCGGAAGTTGGCGGCTATGATCTGGGTAAAACTTCTATTCTTACTCCAAGCGGAGCCTCAGAGCGGGGGTGGGCAAATGTTGGCCTGGACAAATTGTATGTCAGGGATTGACAAACTGTGGAGCACCTCGTTGTTGAAAGGCGCAACATGTCACCAAGGTCACAAACGGAGCCTATGATTGACCTGACAAAAACATAATTGAGGACATTCAGCTTTGTCTGTGTCCTTCATGTACGCATGGTTGCTGTCCCATGTATGCGCAAACAGTGCACACCATAAGATGCATGGTTGCATGTACAGTATACATGTGATTCACCTCACACGCGTGTGTCTTCTCAAGCAGTAGTTGACAAGCGGTGGCTTCACCATATCTTTTCCAGGAGCCTTCGCTTTCAGGGTACCTCTTGGAGTGTGTGGTGAGCCTCAGAGGCGTGGCAAGGGGACGGATATCCAGTGCCATTAGTCCATGTTGCAAGAAAAAGATGAGGCCACCTTGTGTATTGCACACTCAAATAAATGGCCTTCATGCTTGATCTTACATGGGACAGTGTCCAACTGAGGCATCCCCCTTTGAGTGGACTCGTTTTAGGCGAATCAACTTTGGCCCGGGGAGTTCAAGCGAGGCAGAGCTAAGCACCTTGCGGCAACGCTTCGAGGAGACGGAGAAGGCGAGGTGTGGGAGAAGGTTTTCAGCGAACGCCAAAAACAAACAGAGCTTGGCATAGACCCCAACCAAATGTTTGGTGAATTTATGATACGTGGTTATTTAAGAGAGCAAGACTGACTGTCAATGAAGAGGGAGCTCAATACAGGAGCACCTAGCCGCAGCAGGAGAAGCGCCGAATTGATGTACTCATGCAAATACCCTTTGCGTGGGTCACTTTTTGGTGAATGGAGATAAGCCTCAATGCTGCAACACAATGGGAGCATAATTGTTAATGTTATTGCTTGCACGCTTTGTGTCTAGTGTTTTCTCTTTTCTTTTTACTGGGAGCTCGAGACATTCGCAATCGGCATTCTTCTTATTGTGTTGGCCTTCTGCCGCAATGTACAGTATCTAGACTTTGCCGCCTGTTTCAAAGTTTTTGGCTTGAAATTGCCCGGTGACTTACCGACAGTTCGCCATGATGCAGAAATGCCAGGGATTGTTCACATGCTTGACAAGGCAATCCTGGGAACTTATCCAAGCCCAGAGTTGTGTACAACACTAGTCACATCCTTGGTTACATCCTTGGTGTGACCTTGTTCACTTTCCTTTAGAACTTGAGCCCTTCAAACTGAGATTATGGCATATCAGATGAGCTCTGGAGGAATCACAAAAGCTGATAGCCGCCCCCCGAGCCCCAAAGCCAGTCCATAAGCCCCAAACCCAGTATCGGATCCCCCTTGCAAATCGTGCAGGCTACTGAAAATTCACCCACCAAGATCCTGGAAACCACTGCGTTGGGATCTGATCCATGCATCACAATTAGACCCCCAGCCTCCGCGGCCGGAGCCGCGGCGGCCGCGCAGCGCGCGAGGAAAATGGGAGGCAATTCCGACAGCTCTACGGGAGCTTGAAGCACGACGCGGACCTGATCAAGAGGCGCCAGAAGAAACTGAAAAAAATGGACACCAGTTGTTTGTGTTGTTTGGAAGGTTTTGGTTGTGGTTGTCTTTTGGTTTGCCAACCAACTTTCACAGTTTGACAGTTTGGAAGGCTTTGAGTGGACAAAACCAGGCCTTCGGCATCTCCTTTGGTGCCAGGACCCAGGCGGCCTCCGTGGCAGCCAATGAGAATGCCCAGATACTGGAGGAGAAGGCGAGAGTTTGGGGATGTTCAGAGTGACGATGGCAAACCACCTGCAGGTTTTCATGGTTGAAGCAGAAGACACTGGCCTGCCGTCTTTACTACTATGCCTGTTATGTTCGTGTTTGCGGTATCCCCCCAATCTTATGAGTGTCTGCACCGAATGTCAAGTCTGATCGACAGGCTGGCGCACAAGACAGTAGACAGCGTTTCAATAATCCATTGACCGCCGCCCTGAGCGAGAAGGTCTATCGTGTTCCCCGGGGCCGCTTGATTCCCACAAATCACAAGTTTCAACTAACTTACCGGCGAGTTTCTTTAAAGGGAATCAGAAGTTGACCTTTTTTCTTGTGACTTCCTACAACCTTGCCGCTTACTGAGGTCCAACAGAGGGGTCCCGGTGTTTGGCCAGTGCAGACAACCACATCCGAGTCACTTGCAGATTGTGGGGAGCTTGGGCCCTTCTCGGTTGTTGTCTGCGACAGGACACCAAAGGACACCCCAACCCAAACCACCACGTAACTGCTTTGAGACATCCTGCAGGTGTGCCAGTGGCCTTATTTGACTTTGCAAGTTTTACGGAAGGCACCGCAAAGGATAGATATTGCAATGTGTGTTAGACGATCGCTGGTGGCAGTTCCTTGTCAGTTGTGTATATCCGGGGGTTTCTTCCGTTTGCGGTACCCTACCACAATGCGGGAGGGAGCCGAGCGGTGGCTCAAGTGCCTTCTGCAGGATTGAACATTTCTCTAAGGGCCAGGAGAGGTCTGTCGGACCCCCTGGTGTCGGGTTAGTGGGAACAGTCCTACCTAGACCTTGTGCGCGGCAGCTAGACTATCATCGCACGTTCAACTTCAGTCGGACATTTGAAATTTGAGCGCCCCACTGGGCTGTTTTGGGGGTATCTCCGGCACTTGGGGTTCACACACACTTTTTCTGCCGCGGGTGCTAAATTTTAAATTGCCCGTATATTATATGTTTCTTTTAACCCAAAAGCAAGTCAACACGGTATTTGTTGGTTTTTCCAGACTCGTTGTTCACCCCTCAGGTGAACAACCTGAACTTTGACGACGAGAAGTTCGCCCATCTGCGGCAAGAGGTCCGAGAGGCGGTGCAGTACCTCGATGAGGCCCTCGAGTCAGCAAGTCAGCGAGTCTGCGAGTCGAGTCCCTTGCGCTTCTCAAAACGGTGGGGGACCGTTTGGGTTTCTAGAGGGAAGCCAAGAGGAAAACAACCAGAGGGGGCCATTGTCTGAGAAACCCCCATATATTTCAGTTTAATCGGTCACTGATCTGGGGGATTTAACGCCTTCTGATGTTGCGGTCCCTCGGCGATGCCTCAAACTAGGTTGATGACAAACACTAGTTAAATCACATGTACAGGAGCCTTTGCTTGGCTGGCCATTTTAGCACCTGATCAAAACCACTGCTTTTGGATTCCGACCATCCTCCAGAGTGTGCGCTCTTGAATCAGAAAAAATGGTGCCACCATATCAAAGCGAGCAGCTTGGGGATTTTCAATATTAGATTGAGGGGTGGAAGTCTGATATTTGAGAGGGTCACTTCAATGACCTCAGGCTCCCGATGCAAAATCTGTTTGATGTGTCTAAGTTGGCAGCATGACCAGGATGCCTAAGATTGCCCCTTTTCAGCGGTGTTGCACATCACTACTTGGCTGCGACTTCAAACGAGTTGCATTCTTGTGGAATTGCGGGTGTGTCTATCTGTCTAACTTCCAGTTGCTAATGCGTCCCCACCTTGAGGATGGTCTGAGACTGGTTCACAAGACCGCCTACCTATAAGTCAGAGGGGTGCTTAGGAAGAGAATGATGTCGCTTAAGACGGTTCCGCCACAATGATTCATAGCTGGAGGACGGCTATTAGTCAGGGTTCAGCATTCGCCAAGTGTTGATTGGTCACTTTGCGGATTGTGAGAAACGATTGATCATCATGCTTGCTCGATTCAAGGGGGGACTCCTCTGGCGCAAACAGCCGAGCAAGCAGCCAACAGCCCCACCTGCACTGATTCATGGATTCTCAATACGGAACAAGGAACTAGCCATTAGCTGTTGGGGAAACAAAAGGGTTGCTAAGATGGGATCCTTTGATCCTTTCCGCTCACGGAGTTGTTGGAACACAGCATAGTTCACTGCCAGAGCCGGCTTGTGGCGCCCCAACAATATCATCGGTAGACTGAATCAGGGTCTCTTGGAGAACTGACTTGGCAAAAAGCAGCTATTTGTTCTTCTTCAGCTTTTTTTGGAGGGAAACCCCTTGGAAATCAACTACCAAACAAAGGCAGGTCTTTTCCATGCCCACGGGAGGTCTGAGTTTTGCTTAAATGAAATTGAGTGTTGCTTTGTATTTGTTTGTTTGAGGGGTGTCATTTACATGTTTCGCAGCTGCTTCGTCCGCCAGATTGGATTTGTCTGTGCCAGTAGAAGTGTGGGTGGGCTCGGTGCCAGGTGAAGATCAGGCGCCTGACAAGTCAATGCAGCAAGGTGGAGCACGTAGGGCGCCCTAGACGGGATGGTCAAACACCGGCCGACCGGCCTGCCACTCTTTCTGCGGGTGCCTTTCATGTAGCACTTTAAGGTTACGAGAAGCTAAGCATTTCATTCGACGTAGTTAGGAGCAGCTCGTGTTTTGTTGGCCGGCGTGAACCATCACTTTCAGCTTGATCAACATGGAATAGCGGAATTGCAGGGCAGTCATTGTAGCAATGCAAAGGTTTGAATCGGCGGAACCATGGCCATGGCAAATGACGGTTTCCCCTAAATTTGCAACCACGCAAGCGTGTTGGAAGGGGTCAAAGACCCATGTAGACAAGTCAGATATTGGGCCCCACTGGGACAAAGGCCCCCCATAGGGATCCTGAAATCCGACTGGAGGATGTCAGGATTGCCGCCCGGAAACTTGGACTTTGCTTCCTCAGTGAAGACTGTTGTTAACAAGTCTAAGTGCTTTCGATGTGCGCGCGGACACACACACACACACACGAAGTATGACAGGATTCCGGGTCTTTGAAGGGATCCTTCAATGGCTGCATTTTAGAGTGCTCAAAAGGTAGCTTGCACATGACAAGAAGCAAGCAACATTCTTGACCGGACCACCGTGGCCGCCGCAAGATCATCTTGGACTTTGCCTATCCTCGACAAACCGTGATGTGCGAATTGATTTCATCCTGGCTGCCAGCTGCGGCATGTTGGTGAACACAGATATCCATTGTGTGTTCATCTTGCGTGTTCATCTTGCCTATGAGAAAAACACATACACTCGTGGTCAGCCACGTGTCCCATGCTGGGTCCGCCACTTCTGTATTTTAATATAAGGAAATCTGGCAGCACCGTGTTTCTTGACATCGTCTCAACCTTGCGCGGATGGATTTGGAACTGCAGTGACAGGGTGACAATCTGTTGTCCGTCACTTCACAATGTGAACATGGCGGCTTTGACGCCGTGTTCAGTTCGCATGCTGTCAAGAGTTTGAGATGGTTTGAGATGGACAACTTGTTGACTGTAAAACGAACCGAAAGGAATTTTGCCGTGAAGAAAAGACACATGCAACGCCGCTTTGAAGCATCGGAAGCTCTGGAGGCCTTGCATTGGCGAGACATTCGAAGCCATGGTAGCATACAAAAGGCTTGTGCAGAGGCTCGTCAGGTTCATGCTTATTCAATTGTCGCATGCTTTATGCAAACCGCATCTGATTGTGACTGCTTTTTGGTTGAAGATTCACGTCTCATTCTGTTTGGGAGAGAGTGTATCCGCACTTACCAACTTCATTCACGTAGGCAGTCAGTTCTGAGATTCTTCCTTAAAAAGGGTGACAGTCGTGAACGGCCTCGGCTGTGTTTGACGCAAGGAGTTCCAGCCGAGGTACTGCAAAAGTCTGTCACCAAGATCCTCGCGGTGCTTCGCTGCAGTTTGGTGTGTCGGCTAAGCTTCATGTTGTGTGGTGTCTTGTTGATGAGCTGCATCGGGTTGGCTCTGTTAGGCTCTGTTAGGTTCACAACCTTTGCGGGTTGCGCAAGTGGGCCGGCCCTTAGGCTAAGGCCCCCTGGGGATGAACTCCCCCCCCCCCTGCGGGTTGACAAACTTAGCAAACACATCATGTCATTGCGTTTTGATGCTAGTCTTGTGTAGCCTGTAAGTATGAGCTTGTGATAGCTTGTGTTTATTTATTATTTTTTTAACGGCTTCTCGATGTTTCGTGTTTGTTGACCTACATCGAACGTGAACTGTGAGGTTGATGTTTTTTTTTACACTTTCACTATCCTTACATATGGCTTTGCATTTCCTTCTTAGGACATGTCACATTTAGCAGTGTGTGGTTGGATGCTTCTTGTGGGCATCGTTTGCACACACACACACACTCATATGTTTCGTCCTTTGCTTATGATATTGCTTAGTCGCAACTTTCTGCTTCTGACTAATAGGACATGTGCAAGCGCCATGTTGGTCTCTCTCCTCCCAGAACCCGTGCCCCTGTTGATGTCCGCAGCTGCTTCGGAGCAACGTGCCAGGATGCCATTGAAGTAGTAAGAGTGCGTTCCCTGTTGTGTTGTGCTTTCCCTTTCTCTTCAGTCTTCAACCCAGTTTCGTGTTTGTCTTTGTTTTCTCCTCTTTGCCTTTTCGGCCAAAAGGCGAGACACTTCGTGCGTGAAATGCGAGAAGCGCGGGCGGACGCTTCGACCGCCCGAGGACTGCAAAGATTTGGACCACCGACTGACGCTGCAGTCGGTGGCTGCCAGTACCTTCAGCCTCAAGGCCATCGCCCTGTGCCGCGGCAGCGGGCAGCGGGCAGCGGGCAAAGGGTCGGATCGCTTCCCCACGAGAAACGGGGGGAGGGTTGGCAAGACGGAGAAATTGGCGGGGAGGGTGGGCCTCCTGTTAGGTTGTTGCGATTATTTTTTTAATTTGGGGGGGGGGGGGAGGGCGGGGGTGCTGGTGTGAGGGATCAAAGATGAAATTGCAGGTTTTGTTCTAGAATGTTCCCTTTTGTGGAAGACTATAGAACCATGATAGCGGGGCGGTGTTCAGCAACGAGCGAGGGAAAAGACAAAGGACAGAATTCATCGGACACAACTGACTATGTAACGACGGCAAAGATATGAGAGGCACGCAGAATCAGAACGACAAAACATCATACAACCAGCATACATAAGACGTTTCGATGTGGGTAACATTGGGTGTCTCAGGACTCAGGTCTCAGGTGGGCGCTTCAAACAGGCATGGGCTCACACATGTCGGCTCAACACACCTCAGCATTCCCTCCTGAGATCCTTCTCTTCAGAAAGTGACCCCAGGGAAAACAGGTGGGTTTTCAGCTGAAGATGGGGACCGCCTTAGATGAGCGTTTGGGGTCTGTCGACAGAATCGTCGACCCTGAAAGAGGGGAAGTCGGGGATCCTCTAAGGGACATACAGCCCACTCTGGATTGTGTTTTGTGTCTCAATTCGCTACTCTTCCATGGAAGCCCACAAGAAAAGCCAAGGCTTTTGATTGAGGCGGCAGTTTTCTTAGCTTTGGGTGACCCACGTTGTTAACAAAATCACGCATCTTCATCCCAGTTTAAAACAAATGGCAGAAGTTTGGGGAACACTGCGATGCCCCTTTTTGCTTCCTTTGTCCAGCCAAAAGCGATTGGCTCCTAGTTGTTGGTTCCGCACATTTGACCGAACAAAAGCAAAGTTCCTGCAAATTCCATTGCCCAGTCCGATGAATAACACGGCAGTTAGGAAGCCAACATGTCGAAACGGCCCCTGATCTTGACATTGACTCTCCTTGTTGACCCCTGTTGTAAGGAAACTCAATGGAATGCCCACCTTAAAAGGTCTCAATATTATTTTTTAATTGCTCTTTGTTGTTTTTCCCACTACCGGATCAATAGCACAGATCCTGAAGGTCCCTGATAGAATGCATTGAACATTTTGGTAGGTTCCATGTTAGTGGGGGGTGCAAGCTCTCCAGGCCACGGTTTGGATGGGCCGTATTTCACATCAACCAGCATTGCTCGTTTGAGGGCAAGGACCAGGTTTCTCTCTCTCTTTCCGTGTTTGCCATTTGACGTGTCTTAGGAGCGAAGAGCAGAGGACAAAGAGCCTCAAGTACCTGAGTGGCGAAGAGCTGCGCATCAAGGAGTTCTTCCGACCGAAAGATGTAAGACGCGATGATAAATTTTCAGTGAAGTAGCGACATAGACATAGAGGTACGACTGTGGCGAGACAAGTTCAATGGGTTATCGGCAGGTTGGGGCATGGCTGTGCGTACAGGAGGCTGGCAAGTATGAGCTTGTCCTCTTAGCAGGAGCAGGATGCGTGTGTGTGTGTGTGTGTCTCTGTGTGTGTGTGTGTGTGTCTGTGTGTGTGTGTGTCTGTGTGTGTGTGTGTGTCTGTGTGGGTGTCTGTGTGGGTGTCTGTGTGTTGTGTTTGTGCGTGTTTTGGTGTTGTACCAAGCATGTTGTCCTTGGCTTCAAGTGTTGGCGCGAAGTCTTCCTCCTACTTTCGGGCTTTGGTCATGAATCAATGCACGCGCTGTAATTGAATAGCCGTATCAGTGCCAACATTCATCTCGGACCTGCGCTGGAATGAACATTTTGCAAGCGGTGTGATTTTGCATCGAAGAAACCGGGAAAGCCAAATTGGCAAACACAAGCACTTGTGTGTGTGCTCGCTGCAAGAAGCTCACACATGCTCCGTATTGTATCAGAAGGGATGCCTGTTTTGGAGCTTGAACGCGGCACGCTCCGGCTCGAGGTAACTACACCGGAACTTTGCATTGCTCATGCAACTGATTCTTGATGTCCTTTGTGGGGGCGCCGCATACTACAAGGATAAGCTTTTTGTCCGACACTGTGTCAAAGGCCAAGGTGGGCAGGTCACAATCGTTTCAACTTACGTTGCCTTTCCTACATATTCCAATGGTCCACGCCATTTGCCTTGGCAAAGTGTGCGCCACATGTGAGGAGAGGATGACTGGCACGCCCAGAAACCGCCTCTCCGATGAAGATATCCTTCTTGAGCTCAACACAGCTGCGAGGCCGCTGCCTTTGGTTGAGCAATGGCCATTATGAGGAATGAGTAGGCCCTGACTGGACTTGGTGGGACAGACTGGGTATCAAAGAGCTGTTCCGGCATTATTTGACCAGGACAACCTGGTGGCACTACTTGTAGGGTGGTGGCTCAAAGGAAGTATCCAACAGGGGCCAAGAATTACTGAAATTTTGCCAAACTTATGTTTCCTCTGTTTGCTGCATTTTGACCAAGGGAGAACAAATCGAACATTCCTCATTTTGCGAATCATGCTCGAGGAGGTTGCGACGGCAGCTAGCTGTTTCGTCAGTCAAAGCTGCGGCGATTCACATACCACATGTAGGTCATCTGAATTGGGCGTGAACTAGCACAGATGTGCGGATGTCTCTTTAAGGAAACAGAAGGGGGGTGGAAGACCGCTTTTTTTTTTTTCCAGAACCCCTATATCACCTTGGTGACTGCCTCCACACTATGCAGTCGTGTTTTGGTGGCTTATGACAATCCAACTGTTGACCTATCTGCGGGGTTTTGCGCTGTGACCGCGTAGCTTGTTTGAGCTGACACGACGCTGCGTCTGAGGCTCGGAACTTGTATTCCAACGGCCAAGCCTTGAATTGTTGCATCTACCGTTTTCTGGGTGACGTGGGTTTCCAGTAAGTTAGGCCGACGAGCGAAACAAAACATGCTAGAAGCGCCCGACGCCTCAAGTACTAGGAGGGGACTTCGTCAAGAGGGAATGCCGGGTGGCAAACAGTGAAGCAGGGCGGCCAAAGCGCCAACGTGCTTCTTGCTCAGAGAGTGCGGCTGCACCACTGAAACCTAGACAGACGCTTCTATGAATCCGCGGGTCAATATGTCATGGCAGAGAAGGTCACCCTTCTATCACAGGTGGCTTCTGTATCTTGAGGCGCCTCCTAGAAATCGACCAGAAACATATGAGCTCCACAAGTTGCTTCAGCCCTCGAGGCCAAAGAAGAACATTCCCAAGGGGATTCCGAGTGCATGGAACGCCGGGAACCTTCTGAGGTGTTGGCTGGCAACTGGGATTCTCCGGGGTCATTGGAGAGTTTGCGGAGGATTGAACTGGCTTTCGCTGGGCTTGTTGGGGGTCTTGCTTAGTGGCAAGGCTGAATGTTTCTTGTGAACAGGCCAACACCTTTTCAGCAAGCAATCATTCTTGTGCAGCCAGCAAACTGTGACACAAATAGAGTGCTTGGCCAAAAGAGCAATCAGCTTGACCAACTTTTGACCATTTGTTTGGCCCCTTGCCGCCTAAACGCCATTTCCACCGAGCCCAATGACCGACGGTGCAAGGCCGGAGGTGAGCGAGAGGCCGTTGGCGCTGATGTCGGGGCCAGGGCCGTGGCTTGGTCAGAAAGCGGGGAGCGGATTTGTGTGGCCCAACCTGAGCGATGCCACCCAAACAGGACCGTGGCAATATGTCCTGGCGCACCTCTCTTATGGTCAGTGGGGAATTGAGTTTGGCGTAAACTTTTGGTTGACTGCTTGTGCTGTGTAATGGCTTGGAAGCCAAGGCTTGAGCAGAAGAGCACTGATGGCAAAGGCGTCTTGGAGCTTTTGGCTGCCGAGGCCTTGGGGAAGAGGGGGTCAGCCCACACGGCGGTGAGGGGAATGAAGCCAGAAAGTGCACATGAACGGCTCGACAGAATGGTGATCCCCCGTTTGAAGATGTCATAGCCGGTATAACGACCAATCGACCAATCCAATATAGTGGTTCATTCATGGTTTTTGTTGGAGGGCGCCCAAGTCATGCTGGACTGGGTCTAAATGACCTATGGAGGTAACAATCCCCCATGATGATGGACGTTGAGTTGTTAGACCCCCTGTACAACCACCGACGGAGCAAGTTTGAACCCTGTTGACAGGGCTTTTCCAAAACCGTTTGCCCACATGGCCCCGCAGTCCCACGCTCATGGCTGCCAGGTGTTTGTCCTCAACGCATTTGAGCTCGATGTGTCTCGGCCAGCGGCGAAAGAGCACCGTTCGGATGACATTCAGTGCCGGGTCCAATATGAAGACCATCAGTCTGACTGCCAAACAAGCATGTTCTTGCATGGTGTCCCCCTCTTACCTTTAGTGCTAAATGGGATTTTCCGGCAAAGTTGAACCCCGTAAACTTGTTTACACCCGCTTGTAGGGGATCGCTTAGTGCGCGTTTAAACTTCATTCCGGACTTGATTGGGTACTCATCAGAAGTGAGCAGCACATACGAACTAAAATGCAGTTTACAATTGCGCGCTGCCAATGCGAGTTTTGGATCTCGCTGGGCGGTTCTGGGTGCAGTGCCAGGCGTACCCGCGAACTCCACTTGGCCATTGTACCAAGTTGTCCTCCCTGGCTTAGGGTCGGACCCCAGAAATAGAACTACACCTTTTTGATTTGTCGCCCAGTTGCTCAGTGGAACCCCCTGCGATCGGCCTGTTGCAAGCTGCTTCTGCGTCCCCACAGGGAGCCCTTTCAATGCGGGCCGCTTGAGTTTTCGGAGGTCTGTGAGGGCTGTTCCTGACGAAACGAGGGGGATGAATGGGAATTTGCTGGAACTTGCTCGCAGGAGTTTGGGGCTGGGAAACAGGCTTGGTTTTGTTGCATCTTTTGTGTGTTTGACATTGACCGTTCCCGATCAGCCTTGTCGAGTTTAGTTTGCGTTTGTTCCAAGCAGCTTTGGCCTGAGGAGTACCATCGCAAGATGTGCACCGAGTTCCTCAACAAGCGTGGGCCCCGTAGAGAAGGTTCGACGTTAATTGGCCAACTTCTCCAAGGCGACCAAGAGTGTCTAGGTCCCCCAGTAGTGTCCTTTTACCCTTTTTTTGGGGAGGGTTCCCCTACCAAAATAGTCTACAAAACAAGGGTACCCTTTTTGTAACCTCTACTGGAGGACCCAGGTGTCCATGGCCAGTCACGGGAACACGTGTCCACCACATCAGTGGCCAGTTTTGATGTCTGACCTTGTTTGGACTTGGGTGGTAGCCGAGTGGCGACTGTTACAAGCGAGCCAGCTGCATCAAGTCTCAACGTCCCTCTAACTTGCTTCAACATTTACAGTGAAATTCACGGTTTTTCGCTAGGATGCTAGCAGGCTTCCTGTTGCTCGGCATTCGCTATTCTCATTGTCGGAAATGCTGTTATCCCAACGTCAAAAGGTTTGGCGGCCAGGTTCAGGGTGTGTGAGTGTTTGTTTTAATGAATCTCTGAAGATCTACTGGTTCGTAACGTGGCGGTTGTAACCACCAAAAGACAGGAGATTTCATGGTTAGCAGTCTCCATGGCGGGCTGACATTTGGAACCTCAGAAGGGACGGAGCGAAATTGTCTACCCTTGTTTCAAGGCTCACAGCAACCCGATTTGAGATGCAGCAATCTGATCCAATGTTGGCATGTTCTATTGCTACGGCTTTACTTGCCGGCATAGGATATGTTTACACTGCACAACATTAATGCCTGCGGAGTGTGCCTACATTGTTGCATGTCTTTAGCCTTGCAACATTGCTGAATAGCTGAGAGTATCAGTGAACCATCTTTCAAAGCAGATGTTTTGACCTCGATAGGTGTCCGAGTTTTGACTCACCATTCGTGAAGATTCTAGAAGTTCAGCCTCTTCTTCCCGGGTTGTTGGATTGCACGTTATGAGAGGGGTGCAGCCTTGCAGATAATAGCTTGCACTTTTTGCCTGAGGTCACTCCACGGAGGCAATGCCCCATGCTTGAAGTGCCAGACTTAAGTTGTAGATTCCAAACACAGGTATCTAAGAGACGCAAAACGATGCTCGCGCCAGTCTCTCCATTTGCAACGAAGGACTGTTGTGTCTTTTGAACAAGTCATCGTTCAACCAGCCAGGAACCGAGTATGTTTTAGTCGAAGCAAGAAGTGTGCATATGCAGCAAGCAAACAATGCTTCTGCATACTTCACAGTCCCTGACGATTCACACAATACAACGGCGTGGTGACTATCCAGGTCACATGTAGCATGTGACAAGCAGTGCATACACTGCCTGGCGAACCTCCATTGCACAACCAGCCAAACCGGTGCGGGCCCGAGCCCAATGGAATCTCTGAGGGCCGAACACACCACACAAACACACACACACCACAAACGCACACACACACACACCACCCACGGCAAAGATTAAACGGGTCAGCCCTGCCACTTTCGGCTCGATCTCGCAGCCGATCAGGAAGGCATCGGAGCTGCGTGGCGGGCCCACGCTGGCAGTGCTGCAGGAGTGTGGGCCGATGCTTGGGGTTCACCGGGTTTTTCATGGCTTCCTTTAGAGGCCAACAGCTGTCCCTCGTTTTAGGACAGATTGGTTGCTTGTACTGGGGTCCTTATATTTCCCTCAAACGGCGGAAAAGGGAGGGATGACTGAAGGCCTACATTTCCCTGGTTGAAAGACATCAATAATTGATGGTTTGCGGCAGTGAAACTGTTGACCAATTTGAATGGTGTACGTTGCAGTGGGACATATCATGACCCTGTTTCAAGGAATGTGGAAATGCTACTTGTAGTCATGGTTGGCAGATGTATACTGTGGCTGACTACGCGGCGTGTGGTCTGCTAGATGGCTTTCTTTGGTTTATATAGCCCAACCACAACTTAGCTTTTTTTGCTTTTCGGAAGGAGTTGGGAGGTGTATTTCCCAAGTTCCTTTTGCAACCTTGGCAAGCCAAAGGGCAGACCTCAAGCTTCATGTGTCAACCTGGGATCATTCCGGATACTATTGTTGGTTTAAAGGGGTACCTCCAGCATGGATCGTGTCCTGCTATATGTAGACTGAGGGAAGCATGTCTCTCGTTTGTTTTCTGGAGGCGTTGAAATATCCGCACTGCGTACTACCCTCCTCGTCGGCCGACGGAGGATGGCTTTCTTTTAAGGGATCTTGATGTTTCAGGGCTCCGGTTAGGTGGCTGGAGGGTGCGCAAATTTAGGTTTTGTCGTGGATCGGGGTTTGGATCACAGAGCACAAAGCAGATTCCGGAATCCGGTTTAGGAGAGTCCAGTGCAGGCCGCTGCAATCAGTCATGAGCAATCCTGTCCAAGTCGTTGTGTTTGTTGTGCGTCGTATTCGAGGAGAACCTTCCAGCAAAGTACAAGCCCACATTGCCCAAGGCAGTTGCAGACATTGGGATTCAGAGATGGCTGTGCAGAAGCCAGCCTTTTGTTTCAGAGCTGATGTTTAGTTTGAACGTGCTTGTGTTTGAGAGCACCTGCTATCCTCTTTTTGATTCATTTGTAGCAGAAGGTGTGGGAGTGTAAGTCCGCTTAGTGTTGTTTTTAACCCCCCACAATCTGCCAGCAAACGCTAGGACGTTCTACCCTTTTCACTTTCACTTTCCAGCACAAACAGTCACGTGTGTATACACAGACTGCGACACCCCGCTGAGTGTTCCGTGAAAGCTAGGCAGGCATCGTTAAGGCCAAAACTGACACAAGTTGTGCGTGCACATTGGACGTTCTACCCTAAGAACCACAGTCTAAACTCAGGAACGCCCATCTTTGAACGCTGGTTTCATCAGACTGCGTAGATGTAAATGTAGCTTGAGTGAGGTGCTTGCCAGTCCTGATTCAATTCTTGCTCTCTGTTGCCCTGCGCCTAGAGAACATGGGGGTATTCCGGAATTAGGGGTGGTCGTTTGCATACGTTCAAAGGGAAGCCAAACTATAATCAACGGTGCAAGGGCAGCCAGTGCTCATCACACTTATATTTCCCGTGTTGACAGTCATTCATGGGATTGGCCTTTTCAGTCATTGGTGGGTTGCTTCGAACATTGAGCAAAGCCCAAATCAAATGTGCTGGACCCAGGGTCTGTAAGTCTCCCTGTTCTCAGAATTCTGTGTCCAACAATCAGGAAAGTGGAAAGGGGGCTTCCCCAAAAAGAAACTAGGCTTCCAAGACCCGCCTGTGCATTTCTATGATCGAAAAAATGTGTTGTATGCCAAGCAGCCGATGGAACAAGAGTGTTAATCCCACACTTTAGGCAGGCCTCGTGGTTGTTTTTCACAACAAGGGCTGCGAAAAAAAAAAAAAAGCAACGCTACAGCCATTCATTGAAGCCCGCTGCGCCAGCTCCGAAGAGAATTGAATAAGTGTCAGGGCATTCTGTCCAGGTCCTTAAACAGCTCGGAGTGCGGTACGCAGAACCCCAGTGGCAGTTTTCTGTTGGCTTCCTGCCCAGGAGATCCACTCCCAAGCCCTCCGCGCCTCGGAATCTGCCGCGCGGCGAGAGATTCGTCAACTCTGACGGGGGAAGCTGGGCGCGGATGGGCGAAGGGGCCCGCGGGCTGAAGGGGTCCGAAGGGGGGTGCAATTGTTTTGGCGCCCGTGCTGGCCGAACTCTGCTTGTGACTTTACGTACAGCAGGATGAAGCATCCAGGAAGCATTTTGGATTCACTTTGATTCCCAGTGTTAGTTCTCTTGTAATAACACTCTTGGCACTTTTTGATGCCCAGATTACAACACGACCACCTTGGACATGACTGATTTCACCTATGAAGGAGTCTGCCTATGTCTGGCTTTACAAATCTTATATTTGACAATTATTGCGAATATCCCCACCAGTATCGCGCCAAGGAAGCAAGCACAAGTCAGTGTTTTTTTGTTTCCCATGGCTACTGGGCCAACTCTGGCTTGCGAATACAGAGAAGTGCAGAGGAGCAGTTCGTTTCGCAGCGTATGTGTTTGCGTTGCATCGAGCAAGCCGCCTGCCAACTGGTGTTCCCCAGGAGGTAAACCTTGCGCCCCAAGACTATTCATGCGGCCTTTGACCAAACAAGCTAATCATATGCGGATGTTTGTGTTTTAGTCCAACATTTGATTGGAACAGTAATACGGGTTTCAATGACAGAAAGGGGCATGTCGCATTATGAGGTTGCGTCATTTTGTTTTGTGTATGTGGGTGGTTGATTGGACCGTCCTGTTCATGGTCAGGGCAAGGCTGGAGTCAAGTAACATGCTGCGCTGACCTACGCGGTTTCCTGGCAAACGTCCAACCTACTCGGATGTGGTGATGTGTTTGACGTCAGAGGATTGAGCCTCATGCCGAGGTTCACACCGACATGTTTTCGAGCCATTGTCTTTCAACCTGGTGTAGGTGTAGACGCTTCTCAGCCTGTCTCAGTGAAAGCTTAAACCGATGATTTGTTTTTGCTTTCGGAAGAGAAACACCCTCAGTGACACTCCTCTGTTGATGCACAATCAGACAATCATTCAGACTCGGACCCCAACTCACATTTCTCACCCTGTGTTGAGCCCGTGTTGGTTTTGTGTGTGCATGCTGCAACGCCCCGATGAGACGCTTCTCGCGTTGTGGCAACTGTGCTCGGCTTGTGGGTGGCTGGCACAGATCATGTATGCTAAACAGGTCAGCCCTTGGATTCGGAAAGGCAGTGGAAAATGGAAGAACTGCTCCGTAAGTCAATCAACTTGTAACAGCACCAAAGCCCCTGCTGGCCAATGTGAACAAGGATAAACATGAGAGGCCTTGTCGATATCTCCCTGATATCTTTGTCGCGTGCTGGAACAACTTGTGACATGTGGGTATGGGTCAAAACTAAAGCACCAGGGCACCCCAGGTTTTAGTTTGTGGTTCCACTACCAGGGTTTCATTTTGGGTACCTGTTTTTGACCCACAGCCATGTCTTTGAATCGCAATTCACCATATTTGGGTCCCATTTCCCATTGAACGCACGCGCTCAGGATATGATCCCTGAGGAGTTGGTTCAGCCAGTGCGGCTGTCACTCTCTGGGTCTCGTCCCTCCTTGACAGAGCGCCTATGAGCTCTGACGACCAGTGCCTCGTTTGTTAAAGAGCTTCCCAGAAAAATAAGTTGCCAACACTTGGCGGTTCCCAGCCATCCGGTTCCTTAGCTTGTTCGGCGTTTAGTGGGTTTAGTCGCTGGGGTTAAACATCTGAGGACAGCCCAGAACCGAAAAGACGACCTCTGGTTCCCCTAAGAATCCACCGGAGGTCTGGTACTGAGTTCCAATGTGTGGCTTGTGGCTCATACACAGCATGTCACAGGAAGCCAAGCTGAAACCATGTGGCGCTCCGGGCTCGATTTGAATCCGGGATGCCCCCAGATCCGCTTTGATGAAATTGACAGAAGTTCACTCAAGTCCTCAAGCAGGAAGCCCCTTTGAGGGAAACCCAGGAAGCTAGCACCCAAAGCTTCCAGTTCCGCCAACTCGGTCCAAAAACGGCACTGCCAACATGACATTTCGCTCAGGCCCCCCCCCCACCGCCACAAGCGGAATCGTGTCACCTCAGCCAAAGTCGCTGGTTCAGAACTTTTGGGTTGGGTTCTACCGAAAAGAACCAACCTGAGCATCGCCGGCATGTTGTTTTGAACATATATGTTTTGGGAACTATCAAGTAAATCTGCCTGCGCTGCTAAGTGGCGTGTAGTGCTCGTTCGTTCTGGTCAGCCCGTTGAGATCGCATCTCGCAAGAGGATGCTGCTGTGCAAAAAGGCGATGCGCTTTGAGAGCTATGGAAATTGCCGGTGGCTTATGTGCTTGTGGCTTCTAGGTGCCGGACCCGCACACAGTCATTGCGCTATCTATAGAAGTTGTCAAGCCCTGGTAGCTTCGGAGGCATGCAGCCAAAGCTATCGCTTAGCAATTTGTACATTCGGCGCTTTGCCGCGTGCGGCTTGAATTTCATAGGGTGTCATTCCAGAAAACGGAATATCCTTCTTGAGCAACGTGGAGTGGGTGATCCACCAGTGGTTCCACGGAAAACTTTGCCCCCTTTTGCCACCAAGTTTGTGAAACATGAGGGTGCGTCGTGTTTGTAGGGGAGCCTCGAAATGTGTTTTTCTTTTTCCAATGGGTTTCCCGATTAATAATAAAAAAAAATAAAAGGTGGTACCCTCAAAAAAGACGAGCCACCCACGAGTCGATCAGACAAGTTTCCAAGGTCACAGGACTTCTGGAGAACAGTGCCTATGAAGTCATGGTGGAGGAGGCCTGACAGCGCAACAAGGGATGGCCACTGGGAGGTAGAAATTTGCCCTCCCACCAAGTAAAATGGAGCCTGAGGTTCGGGGGGGTATGGTTTGGACCATTGTCCTTTGAACGGGACCCTTTGTCAGGTTCCATGTTAATTGGTGGGAGGGTATGTTCCGAAAAAAAATCAAAAGGGAAACCAGGCAAAGCCTGTCAGTTGCCCATGGTTTGCGGCTGCTTTGCTTACACTTGAGAGAAGGCGGGGAGTTTTGAACCAACTCTCGGCTGAAGCCTTCCATAGAGCCTTCTTCGGTTGCCTGAGAGCCCATCAATCCGAAGACATGGAAGAAGAGAGAGACAGAGAGAGAGGAGGCGGCAAGCTCTTTGAACCCCTTCAGAGAGTTGCATGTTGGCTCAAACCAACTTGCCAAAGTTGTCCTTGAGATGGTTTTGCGTTGAGTAGTACAGATTGTTTGTGTACGTTTGCTTCGGCATGGGATTGCTTTTGTAGTGAGACGTTATTTACGTACCAAAAAGGTACCCTGTTCAGTTGTCCTGCGGTAAAGCCAAATGTGTGGCGCTTGCATCGGCTTGACATTACTGAGCATGGACATGTAGTCATTTGTGTTTGCAAGCGGCAAGCAATTACTTGTTCGCTGTTGCTATGCCTGCAGAATTGCTGCTTGAAGCCTCCTCTAGAGCGTACATTGTGACAATCAGTATGTGTTTGCAGTAATTATTCTGCGGATGTTGATTTGTGATGGGATTTACACTTCACGTATCATGGTTGGTGGCAGATTCAAGTGCAAAGCGCAGCAGGTGTGGCTGTTGATCAGATGCGTATTTTATGGACGAACACGTGCGTAGTGTTTAGTTGTGTAGTTGTGTGCGTGTGTGTGCATGTGTCAGCATGGTGTCGAATGGGTACAGTATCTCGCTTACTTTCTCCTGAGTGTTAACGGTGACCTAGATTATGTGTGTGGGTGTGTGTTTGAAGCGTTCTATGCACGCAAGTTCGCAGTCTCTTGAGCCCAGTGGGTCCCTGCCACGTGATCGAAGAGGTCTGGGTCAACTTATGGGTCGCTGCACCATGCTGGGAGTAAAGAGTCTCAATCTGAATCTGTTCGACACCCACGTAGTGCGGAATTATTGGAGTGAGCCAAACTGATTCCGGGCGACCTTTCAACATTCGTTGTGTGTTTTCGGGGTGTGTTCCATGCAGGCACCCAGTGCCTTCATACGCTTCATAATTCCTTTCCCAGCTTGGGCTCTATGTCCAACGGCCTTGCTCCTTGTGACCGCCTGCTTATTAGAGGGCTTCTTCGGTGTTTTGGGACGCTCAAACGGGTTTCCTTTGCGCCGTCTGGGATTCGAACGCAGGCCTGCGAGTCGCCTTGGTCCCTGGCGGCTATGGACAACGTGACCTGGGACTTTTGGACGTTGCGCTTGCCCCAGACATCCCCGCAACTCACCAAACAGATGTACTGCCTGCAATCCCGGAGCTTTGCAAAATCCTGCCAGTGTGAACGTTAAGGAAATCGCAGCCTTTTGAGCCAAGGGGTAGTACGGAACCAAAGGAAAGATATATGTTGTGTTATGTTGCTTTTGTTCTCACAGGTTTCGAAGCTGTTTGTGCCAATATTTGCAGAGCAGTTTTGAACTGGTTGCATCTACAAAGGGGTCGGCCAGTTTGCGCTATGTTGGGCTTTTGGTAGGTGACATGTTTTGGGACGCCTTTTGTCATTCGATAGTGCAGAAGTGTGGCGGCCAGAACTGGGAAAGGAGTATGACTTTGAGCCCAGATCAATTTCCCTTTGAAGGCAACAGGTTGGTCGGAGGGATGCCACAACCAGGAAGTTTGCGCAGATGGCACCGTAGCAGCCCATGGTTCCTTGTTCTTTCCAGGAAACTATGCAGATGTTGACCTGCGGCCTGAGTTGCATTTCAATTGGAGGCATGTGCTAATGCAGGTTATTCGAATGCTCTCATTCGATCGTTCAACCGACCTGGGTGCTTTGAATCTCACAGGCTGCTTCATTAGCTATGTGCGGATCAATAGATCGCTGCACACGGATCCAGGTACAGAGATAGTGTCGTACGGAAGATAAAGGCTTGCATGTGCGAACTTTGACCACCCCGGACTAGTTTTTTCAATGCAGCATTCTAGGGGAAATTGTGGGAACATTTAAGTTGCGGCGGCTCAAGAGGGCGCACCTTTATCCTATTGTTCGATCTTGGCCGCTTGGATTCTAGTTTTCCAGTTTTCTCCATATGGGTGTTTTCCTTGTGCATAC